TGCCCTCAAGACGCCATTGTTTTCGGTCTTCAATTCCTCACAGGTCACGTGGTACAGTTCCCATTCTATAAGTGTAGAATTCTGTGGTTTGAACAGAACAACTAAGTTGAGTTGACCTTGCTGGGGGCAAAGTTAATTAGGTCGACCAATGAGATTGCGCGTAGCGATATCGCACTCTCGGCTTGTTTTGGGAAGAGGTGTTGGGAAGAGGCCACGGCTGGCCATTTTGTGGGATGTGATTTAAAAAATAAATAATTACAGAAAAACTATAACACGCAACAAAATGAAATTAAACATGTGGAAAGACAAATGGTTGTGGAAGTAATGATGATGCTGTAATGGTGGTGGAAAGACCACGAGTTGTTGGTTACCGTGTACACAGACACTGCCACTGGGTAGATCTAATGAGAGTGCAGTCTTTTGACTTTTGATACATACCATTACACAGTCCTTTTAGGCAATTCTAGTTCTAATTCTGGTTTTACGTAAAATCCCCTGACGACAGTTATATTATCATTTATGTGACCTCTTCACACTCACATACTCATTTAGAAGCTGAGTCCGAATAAATTTAATTAAACATTTTTTTCGGACTCAAGTCTGAATAGATAGATCTAAAAATAGTATTCGGACTCTAGATAAAAATTGTATGCGGACTCGAGTCCGAATAGAGCTCTGGCCTTGCAGATTACCACTTTTGTTTTATTATTTTTGTTCATATCTATGAGGTAGTATGTTAATACATACTTAGTCTCTGCCTGAGATCCCACCACTTACGATCCCGGTTCGCTTAATAAAAGATCCCGCTGTTTTAAGAAAACAGAATTTTTACTATACAAAAGTCACCCTTAAGATCCCGCTCTGATTCACTTTAAAGGTCTAAATTCGGCTAAGATCCCGCATTTCAGATCATAATTTGCAGAACAAAAACCCGGGTGGGACAGCTGATCAACCAAAAGTGAAAAGTTGAGATCAATAGACTGTCCGTCGCGTCAAAGATCAGTCACTATCGTGAATGTGATCACATACACGTAAAACTCGATGAAGCGAAACAATGTTTGCCCCAGACGGGATCACACCGGGGTATGAACTGACCGACACGTTTGTTTTCCCTGAACATCGCACCCACACCTGAGCTCTCCCCCTAAACTTACATCACTCACTGGGTGGGTAGTGCCAACACGTTCACTCCAGGTGGGATCACATTGAACTGTGAACTCTTCCCTGACCATTGCAGAAGTTGTCTCTACTCCCGAATTTGCGAGACGGGCTGAATTTTAATTGGTGCGTTCACAAGGTAATGATGTGTAACGACAAGGGCGGTTGGGGGGAGGGGGAGGGGGGGGAACTCAGTCAGAGATGGAAAGCTATAAATTTTCGACAGGTAAGGGCAACTGGATAAGGGTCGAACTTGAGACTCATGATAGGATAATAAGTGAAAATGGCATGCCTCATTCCACTATGCACTGTGATAGGTCATCAAGGTTAATCACTCTTTGCTCGCCATACGTCATAAACCCACCAAGCGGTCACGTCAGTTCATTTTTAGAGTGGATGGAGACCATTTGACCAATTGTGAGCCTTAGCATGGGTCACCATAGATTCTTCCCTGGGTTCATCGGTTAAGATCCCGGTTCGCCTAAGATCCCGCATAAATTTCCTTGCTCCCGAGCACCGGGACCTCAGGCGGAGACTAGTACTTATCTTCAAGTCAATGTCTTCTAAGTCGAGAACTGAAATGTGAATCAACTTTTCTGTGGTGTGCCAAAAGGTTGTTCTCCCATTTCCTGAGATAACGAGATGGTTTTGGTACAGGGGAGTTCATTTACTCTCAAAGATTGTAGTGTTCCCCTCCTTGCTCTGAATTAGCATGGAGATACCTCCTTCAACTCTTTGTAATTCTTGAATCATAATGCATGAAACATCATATTTATCGTTCTTGTCATTAAAGGCTATTGTTAAGGGACCGTACGCCCCAATAGCGCGTGGCGCTAGGGGACCGTACGCCCCCATAGTGTTTGGCGCTAGGGGACCGTACGTCCTACCTGCGCTAAGGCGTGGTGTTACGGGACCGTACACAGATATGCATGCATCTGGACTTTGCAAAAATACTGGAGGAAAACGGCCAGTTTAACGAAGCTCCTGACGTAAGGAGTTATTACTAGGAGAATGTTTAAAATATCTGAATACGATTGTGAGGTATCCAGTGGCCGTGGGTGAACCAGAATTTGACATTTTGCTCACGTCTGCACCCACGTTGTTGTTATGAGGGAGAGAGAGAGAGAGAGAGAGGGAGGGAGGGAAAGAGAGAGAGAGAGAGAGAGAGAGAGAGAGAGAGAGAGAGAGAGAGAGAGATTGTTGTGGAAAAATATGATTCAGTTAAGACATCTTTTATACAAACTGCTTTGCAAAGTATGGGTGACATTGATTCTCCCGTTAAAGAGGTACAGTGTGTATATGAGGAAAAGTTGCGCCACAAATTTTTGACTGCACTATTGTTACACGACACCTGCGCGCAAAAGTAGTCCAGTTATACTAATGTTGTTTTATTATTAATATTAATGTGGACAGGCGTATAATATGTAATGCGCTTGCAAATAAACTTTAATTCGTCTGTGCTTAGTTCACTCCCCGACGTTCTGTCAAGTCTCTACAACAGTTTGTTTTGCTTTCCATCTACCTTTTCCAAGCTGTCTTCTTTTTCCTTTCTTTTCATGTTATTGTTATTGTCACTGAATGTGAGTTGATCTTGCGTCTTGTGCGCTATCAAGACTGAGTGCATGCTCAGGCGTGTTCTCTCATGCAAAAGTGAGTAAATTTACAGCGTTTACGAGCGTCATTAAATGGGGCTAAGGTGCCTATTTATTTTAGGTCGCAAAGCTTAAAAATGTACTCACATCTGCCCGCAGAATGCGCCTGTGCACACACACTATTATCCTTCTCATTTTTGTCCAAACCATTCCCTTTGTGTAAATTTGTTCATCTCTCTCTTTCTCTCACGAACACTCCTCCCCCATCTCTCTCTCTCTCTCTCTCTCTCTCTCTCCCTCTCTCTCTCTCTCTCTCTCTCTCTCTCTCTCTCTCTCTGTCTCTCTCTCTCTCTGCAGTCTTTTGACTTTTGATACAATTACACAGTCCTTGTAGGCAATTCTAGTTCTAATTCTGGTTTTACGTAAAATCCCCTGGATACATAGTCATTTACATAACATTGTATTGAACATGAATCTACTGACATAAAAAGGATGTCATTAAATGTTTCTTTAAAGATTTTTAAAATTTAGACTCAGATGTTGTATGTCTCAAGGGTTGGGGAAGAGAGTTTCAAACTGACGGAGCAAGGTGTGCGAACGATCTTTCAGCTAATTTTTTACCCCCTTTTCTAGGAACTCTTAAAAGATACTGATCGCCTGATCTTAGTGATCTAGATGGAACATAAATCTGGATGAGATCACTAAGATATGAGGGAGCTTTGTTATTGACACATTTATGACTTAATTCTTCTGTTTAGTTATCTTGGAATGCGTAAGACTTGATGATTTGCAGGAAACCAGTGAACTCGTCACACTGTGAAGTCAACACAGCTGAAAAACGTATGGCGGGTGCACAGGAAAAAAATCTTGTACCGTTTACCTTTTTAGATTTGTTTTATAGCATGCAGTAAGGACATGCATATTTTTAACAGGTTTTATATTGCACCAAAAAGTGTGTCCGTTTTCTCTCTACAGAGATGCCACTTTGCGGCTTTTTTCCGGTATTTCCGGTATTTTGATCCTGATCCGCTATTCAGTTATTGAGATCGAGATAGAATCTAGTCGTATAGTTTGAAAAAACCCCAAAACCCACTCACACAAATGCGCCAAATGTTCAAATAACGGAAAAACGAAGACTTCAAAGCTCAAATAACAGGGAGAACCCCCCCCTGGAAGGTTTGCGCTAATCTCAGCAAGTCATTTCTCTCTATGTACACCCTTTGGGTTTCAAATTGATATTCATGTTTGCGAGACTGTGGCGCGTGGATTTCCAGCTATTTAAAAAAAAGTTGAGTGGCATCTCTGTCTTTAAAATGTTGAAACAGAAGGGCTGACAGGTGTAGATTTTGATTGAATAAACTCAGGTTTTGTATTTTAAATATTATTAATTAAAGGTTGACATGTGTAGGTTCGCCTGCCAATCCACGGTGAACTCACCACACGTTTTTCACAAATTCGAGTTTGTGAACTAGATAACTGTGATGAGATCACCGGAGGTATGTGACGACTTCCTCGTGTGACAAATTAACTGGAAGCCGATTTGCATTACTTTAGATTCTAGTGAAGAATTAGATAATATAACCATGATAACCCTTGAAATCTTTTCAGTTTTGAAATGTGAGCTTTTCAGTTCATTGATAGTTTTCCTAGACTCAAAGAAGTTAAACAAATTGTGGTGTTTTTTTTGGTTTACCGCAGTTTTTTAAATTTTCGGTTGAAGCGGACTCCACTGTATTTAGTTTGTAAATTGAAAGAAAAAACTGTCTTCTATCTTTATTCTATTTTTTTTTCAGATATCGGGCGTGTGTTCATTGGTGATATTTCTGATGCAGGCTCACCCTCAGTCAGTGCTTACTCTTTCGGTTTTTATGAGCGGACAGGCCAGTCTTTGCCTATCTATGCCCTGGTGTTTAGGGAAGGCAATCCGGCTGTTATAGGTGAAAAAACTGAGGATGTAAGTTGAATTACTTAATTCTTGTCCTCTTATTCTGTAGTGTTACAATAAAAACATAACTATTTATACATCTCTCAAATCAACATTCATGCTAATCTGTGCTTTTACTTTTAATTCTATATGGCAATGGCATGAAATAAACAAGAAAAAAAAACCCAATTAAAAAGAATTTATGATGGCTTGAAATAGTGAATGTTCACAATTGCCTACCCCCAAATTATTGTTTGAAAGGTGGTTTTTGCAGCTTTACTTTAACTTACTTACGCATGCATCATTACGGGTTGTGAAGTTTTCTTCTTGGTTCCCTTCAATATACATTATATAAGATACCATGATGTTCAGCACCACATTGTAGTGACTAATTTTCTTTTCTCTCAGATCACAGTAACCTGCACTGTGTCTGACACATCCTCTGGATTTTCAGCGGTTCAAATATTAGACGTGACTCTGAGTGCAGCTGTTAATGTCACCAATATACCTCTGACGTAAGTCATCGATAGTCTTACAAGAACTAAAATGTCTTACCATCCCAGTCATACAACCAATTGCCAAAGTCATGTTTTGATGTTCTGAAAAAACTTGAAACACAATCCTGACCTAAGCCAACCATATGATTAGAGCAAAAGTGAAAATGTCTCAATTATTAGATTTTGATTATATATGCATGGAACAAGACCCTAACTATCCTAAGTGTACAATTTATAACAGACACTTTTATCGAACCAATTTCTAGAAACCTGAAAAAAATTACTTCTGAGGCAATTGTGCAATAATTTTAACTGTGGTGAGTGAAAAAATTGGATTTTTACAGATTTATCTGGCTACCCTGTTGCTCCAATGGAACTGAGATGAAAAGCAAAGTGAGAAGGTCTTCTTTTTTGCATTCCCTTGTTAGACCTCAGAAGTAGTCGATTGTTGATTCTTCAACCTGCTGTGCAACTGACTTTTACATCCTATCCTAAGAACAGAGTAGTTGAGTAGATTAAAGAAGTTGTGAAATCTGAAGGGGTATAGGACTAGGATGGTAAATTTGAATGTTTTATGCTCCTATTGACGGAATTTTAGTCATCATGCAGGAAGTGGGCAGTTTCAAACCAGCATGTCAGGGCTAACTTAAGCTGCAATAGATTCAGCATCTCAGAAGACAGACGAAAATACTCAATAAAAAACTTCCCCACCTTAGAAACGAACTCATGTCTTCTGCGTGCGACAACACAGAACCTAACCACTACACCACAAATCCTGGTGGTGATTCGAGACTGGGAGCTATCATTTTCTTAAAAATACTATTGGAGGTTTTACATAAAAACTGGTGAGACTGAGATTTCAGATGTGGATCTTTGGTTGTTTTTTTCTCTCAGTCTTGGGGCGTCTGGCCGTTCGGTGACGGTGCAGTGCTCAGGACAGTCAACTGCTGTCAATGCCTCCTGCCCTGTGAGTCTTGGAGGATCTCAGTTCTGCCCAGAGACGTCTGCCTCCAACACTGTGTGAGTTCTTCTTACCATTAATATTTGCTTCCATTGTTGATATAATGTAGATCCTGCAAGTGGATAGGTGACGGTTTCTCTCTTGTGATCTTCTCTTTCTTCTTTCCTATCAAACATCTATCATTCCTTATCCCTTCACCTTTTTTTTCTTTATGTATGTTACTCTCTAGTAGCACCTTATATCTCTGGTGCAATGCTAACTATTTATGTTGGAAGTGCCGTAAAATTCTTGCCCATACTAAAACTTACCTCTTGTTCTTTTCTTTATATGTTACTCTCTAGTAGCAGCTCCAATCTTTGACGCTTATATGACCTATTTGTGTTTCAGTTTCTGTAAAACTCTTACTCAAACTAAAGTAAATCCTGCAAAAGCTGTGTGGCTGGTGTATTACCATACGACAGCAGTAGGATTTTGTTGTATGGTTTCTATTTTTTTTCCGTTAAAAGTTATTGTCTGTTGGTGTGTGTAAGGAGATGTAAATGTTTGAAGTGGGTGGAAAATCTCGAGGTTGAAGTTTGCCACTAGAGGGTCCTACATCAGTTGTTTTTGTTCTTCTATCTCACTCTTTCCCCCCACATATATAGAGCACAGTATCAAGTAGCTGAAGTGTCCTCATTTTTAATTCTTCAGTGCATGAAGGAGACATGTGAGGACAGTTTGGAAGATTTCTTAGCTTCTTTTTTCTTTCTTTAAAAAAAAAAGTAGAATATATATATCTCAACCACAGGCACATCACAGGTCACAATCACACAAATAGATTCTCACACACACATGCTCACACACATACACACACACTCGCACGCACACACACACACACACTCACATACACACACACTCACACACACACACACACACACACACACACACACACACACACACACAAGCGCGTTACATACCTGTCAAGCCCAGCAAGAAATTGAATAAATAAGTAACATTTTGTGATGAGTGTGTGTGTGTATGTATATGAGTGTGAGTGTGTGTGTGTGTGTGTGTGTGTGTGTGTGCGTGTGTGTGTGTGTGTGTGTGTGTGTGTGTGTGTGTGTATGCGAGTATGTTAACTTGTGCCTGTGCATGATTGTACTTGCCATGCCACAACAAGCAATTCAGTTTTTCTTATTGAAGTTATCTTATCTAATTTTCAGCTCTGTGGTTATCCGTCCTCAAGCTACAATATCTCTGTGTGAACCAGAGATAACTGTGAGCAATGAGGTACCAGGTGCTACATACACATTTCCTATCAGGCTCAGGTAAGATATCCATGCATGTGAATGTGTGTAGCATACATACACAGTCAAAATTGTCCAAGAAGGCTACCCATTTTTGAGAAGAAAAGTGGTTGTCTTTGAATGGTTGACGTCTTTGACTGTGCCATTATAATGTAGCAAAAATGCCGGGGGAGATGGGGGGAATTGGTCGTTTGTACAGGTGATTGTCTTGATTTGACTGTATATTGTCAGTCACCTGTTAAAATGTACTGAGCCCAAAATTTTGAAAGATTATTATATTGCAGTTTCTTAGTACGTAATATCAGTTGTTTAATTATGCTCCAGAAAATTTGGTCAAAATTAAAATTAAAATTCCAAAAGATGAATGAAACGAGAAAAAATACATAATTTAGGCACAAAGGAATGAAACAGTTTCTCTCTCTCTCTCTCTCTCTCTCTCTCTCTCTCTCTCTCTCTCTCTCTCTGTCTCTCTCTCTCTCTCTCTCTCTCAAAATGTTGCTCCTTGGGCTTAGTACATTTTTATAGCTTGCTGCGATACATGTTTTTCTGTACATTGAAGCATTTAGGATTAGAGAGAGGAAGACCAAGAATAATTATTAACTTTGAGAATTTGAACGAATGGGTGACTGGAAAATGTTGCTTTTTTGCCCAGAGCATTCAAGCAGAGAAATAAGTGGTGAACTGTATTGTCCGATATTCATTTCAGACCTTGCAGTTGAAGAAGTACGGGGTTACATTCGTGTATGTGTGTGTTTATGTCTTTGTATGCATGCACATGTGCCTGTTTGTGTGTGGATAATTGTGTTCCTGTATGGGATAATTGTGTGGATAATTGTGTTCATGTATGTGTGTATGCATATTTATGTATCGTTGTATTGGTTCATCTGTTTGTATAATTGTCGTCATGTACATGTTTATGCATATTAATGTATTAATGTATTGGTACATCTGTGTGTGTAATTTTTGTCATGTACATGTTTATGCTTATTTATGTATTAACATATTGGTACATCTGTTTGTCTGTATGATTGTCGTCACGTACATGTTTATGCACATTTATGTGTTGATACAATTGTTTGTGTGTGCAGGTAGGTGGTCAGAGGGCACCACTTGTAGGTCCAACTAATTTTTTCCCCCTCTGTTTTTCGCATCTGTCCGTCGTCCCCTTTCCCTGCACTAAATGACCGTTATTGTGTCGATGCGCTTCTTTTTACTTAAACTAACAAGCATTTGGGGTTACATGCTTTCATGTGTGGATTTGTGTGCTTGTGTGCATGCACATTTGTGTATGTGTGTGTAGATTAGATGCATATGTTCATGTATAGTTTGTTATTCTTAGTCTGCCTCTACCTCTTTTGCCTTCTATTTTTTTCCAAATAAATCCCAATGTTTCTTTTCTCTTCATTTTGTCCACAGCGAGGAAGTCGTTCAGCCTACAGATATCGATTGCACAGTCTCAGGTCAGTATTTGCTCTTTTTTGTTCTCATTGTAACAGTCATAACACAATTGCACGGTGGGTGGTTGGTGGGTGCTGTGGTGTGATTTACTCTTTCTTTTTCTATCTAACATCAGTCCTCCATATCTCTCTCCTCCTCCTTTTTTTTTGTATGTTACTCTGTAAAATTAATGGTAAAACTGTTTTCTGTTCTTCCAGTGATTTGAGTGAGACATATTGCATTGATGTGACATAGATACCTGAGGTGTTTGTTTTATGTTGAAAATAATAGTTGTGTGACAATTTGTTTCACATGCCTAATGGCTCTACACGTTTGTGATACTGGTGAACAGCCCTAGAGTTAATTGTTAGTGTTTTTTTAGCCGCAGTTCCCTTGTAAGCAGTGTCATTTATGGCTCGTTTATCCTGTATCTGAACGAGAGACTGCTATATTTCGAGCACATGAACCTTGAATTTGGGAGATGTACTTCCTGTTTCTTTCATTTCTGTCTTCTTTTAATTTTGCTTCTCTTCAATAGTCGCATCTTGTTGTCTCCCACTTTTTACAAAATTCTTCTCCACTTATCATGGATGGTCTTGTTTGGCCTCTTCCCAGTTCTGTGGCATTGGTAGTAATGGTAGTCCAGTGGTTAGGCTATCGGACTCATAACTGTGAGATTGTGGGTTCAAGCTTTAGGCTCGACGTTGTATTCTTGGGGAAGGCACCTTTCATGTATTTTCCTCACTTAACCCAGGTGTCAATGCCGGGTACCCGGCCATACACAGTGAAAGATCTTGTCAGTATGTTAGGGTTTTAGAACCTATAAAATGGCAGCTAGCACTGCATGCTTCCCAGAAAGTTGAGGTTGTTTCAAAATGCTAGCAGGTCTGCTGGGGTAATAATATAGATTGTAAAGCACATAGAGCTCACTGTTGAGCAGGATTTAGCTCTATACAAATGCTATCTATCATTATTTCTATTATTAATGCCACATTTTTTCATTGTTTCACATAACTGCCTAAGAGAAGCCTTACTTATTGACAAATAAGAATCATCGATTTCTCTAATTTTCCCAGGGGGTCTTGGACTAAACATATTGTCCCAGACTGTGCAGCCCAGGAACATCTCAGTTGAGGTAAAATTGTTGAGTTAAAAGTTTTGAGGGATATTTTACTGTCTTGTTGCCTTTTAGATGTAGTAGACTCATATGAATGAAGACCAAGAATGGGGAAAAGATCACAAGAGGGAACACCTGAAAAAAAGCTGACAAGATGACATCAGAAAGTGGTCAGGCACAACTTAGATTCAGAAAACAGTCGATAAAACAAAGTAGAGGTCATTGTTTTGCATCAAGTTTTGTCATTAACTCTTTATCTCCGAGGGGGGTACACCGACTATCCCGGGCTCTTTTTTGGTGCTAAATCCACATATGACAAAAACGTCATTAAATAGGTCATCGAATCGAAACTATCAATCTAGCAAACCTATTTTGATTGTTCTTCATCTAATGAATGAACTTCCAGTAAAGGAGACCTGTTTTCGGCAATTGCCGAAATGTAATTTGACGTCGAAGTCGTCGCAAAGGAATGTGCCCGAGCCGCTGTCAGCGACTTACTGGCATGGCGGTTCCGACCGCGAGCCACCCAGAGATAAAGAGTTAATATTACAGAATAACATACAAAGAAAAGAAAGAGGAGAGATGTTAGATAAGAAGAGATGAGTAAATCACATGAGGGCTTTTTCCTGCAGTGGATGGACTATGCCTAGAAAGAAAGAAAGACTCTTGTGGATCGGCATTTGTTGTGTAATGGTTAGACTATTGTGAGCAATAACGTTAGCAGGTGCTGTCTGCCTATTTTGTATCGAGCTCAGATCAGATGTTCGTGCATCTGAGAGAGCTATGTATGTCCATATCGTTGGCTAGCTGTCAGATGTACTAAGCCCAATTGAATTTAGAAACAAAATGTGTTTATTACAGTTTTTTAATCTGTGGTATCTGTTACATGTGCTCAAGACATGTTTTGTTGAAAATGTTGAAAAAAGCAAGAAAAAATACACAATATAGATACTATTTTAAGATAATGGAACAGTCTTTTCTCACTCCTAAACGATTTTACTTTCTGGCCTTTATACATTTACAGCTGTCATTTGAAAAAAAAAGTACATATACAAATTCTATGATGTGTTTATTTTCTGTCACTGACGGAACAGAAAAAATAGTTACTGAAATTAAACATGTCACAGAATTTGCCTAAAGAACTTTGCATTTAATATGATTCTTGATATGTCTTTCAACTGTTCTGATCGTTTTACATTGAAATGAATTAATTGACATTGAATTACAGCTTTATCATTGAAAGAAAGTATAGTCCAAATGTCCCATAAGTTACTGTAGAGAAGCCCTATAATTATGTTTTGGCTAAAAGTAGTGTTGAAAGGGGTGCATTACCCAGACAGTTATTTTCATTGATAATGTTAATATTGAGAGGGGCGTAAAACTAGTACAATTTTTTTTTTTATGCTATCGTTAGATGAGGTATACGGTGAACAACCCCACAACAGGAAATAGTGCAACAGTGACATGCTCTGCACAGTCTCGGACCGGCAACCAGTTCACCTCGCTTGGAAGCTCTGGTAAGTTCCCTCTCCCAGTTAGCTCTTTCCATACCAGATCATTTTCCATTTTTCTTTAATTCCGACCAAGTCATTTTGAGGGCCGATTTTTTCCAGTCTGACTGAAATCAGAAAAGTAATTTCTCCTCTTCCTCCTCCTCCTCCTCCTCCTCAATACATATTAGATAATTTAGGAGGCGGGCTTTGACCCTACTTGTTAGGGCCCACCTAGGCTGAGAGGGATACAACTTTCCAACAGAAAGACGAATATACTCAATAAAAGTCTTCCCCACCCAGGAATTGAACTTTGATCTTCTGCGTGCAGTGGCAAAGCGCCTGACCACTACCACAAACAGTGGTGCATAATTTCTTGTAAATATTTTCTGAGAAGCTCAAATGTGTTGTGTCTTAGAGTGCAAGGAAATGAATTTTCTATCAAGCTGTTTGAAGAAAAAAAAAAGTAATCTTGAGTGTGAAATAGTGGTTTTTGGGAGCCTGAAAACTCTAAAGTGGAAGAGATTAAGAATTTACCTAGCTGTGCTGTAGAGAAAGAGTTCTTCATTGAGACTGAGCACTTGTATTTTTTCAAATTCAGTTCATCTTGTACATAACATCTTTATTTCCTTACTTCTTTACTTTCCCCCCTTTTGGTTTTGTCTGTCTGTCTGTCTGTCTCGCTTTTACCAAAGATAGTAAATAACAAGATGGGCCACTCAGCCAAAAAAGTGTCCGCAGGAAGTATGCTCTTTGCTTTAGATGGCGCTGCAGTCTGTTTTGAAGCTCTCTTTCGTTTTTCCAGAAGAAGAATAGGAATAGCACCTCCTTGCGTGCGCAGATCGACTGCTGTTCATCAGCAGTTCGGGTACGTTCAGTGCGGAGTTTTAGGTTTTAAAAAATTCTAATGACCTCTCGCCTTTCATTCTAAAGTCAAATTAAACGAAGAAAACCATCACCCTTTCCTCCGGAAGAGGTTTTTTGTCAGCGTAACCATTAAAAAAAAGCGTTCTTCCGAAATTTATCCCAAAACTTGCTAGTTTCACTTTGATTTTTAAAAACTCAAGTAGGGTAACTCTGTTCGCAAAGAGTGCGCTTTTGTGAAGAGGGTGCCACCAAATTTTGAGGACACTTTTTTAATTGGCTCAAAGAGAGAAGTGGCCCATCTTGTTATGTACTATCATTGCTTTTACTAACCGTTCTTGTTTTGATGCTTTTGCATACTTAACCTAATGTGTTTTTTCTTCTTTTCTTTTTAAAAAACCCCCCCATTTAGGTCCACTCTCTTCAGCACTCTTTAAGCTGCGGACAAACACGTTCAGCTTCGAACCCAGGTGGTCTGCAGTCTACAACATGTCCTTCACGGTGAGACTCGGAGAGTACTGGCACATAGCACTTACTTTCTGACTGAGAATGTCAATGTTGTGCAGAAATAGATCTATTTTGTAGCAGCAGTTTAGCTCTGTCAATCCATCTTTTTTCTTGATCTTCCTTTTGCTTTGAAGCCATTGGATCTTTTGTAGCTCTATTCCCCTTCTCACAATGTATCCAGATGATTTGTTGTCTTTCAATGTATTGCCTGCTTAACCCTAGAAGCGCTCAGCGTTTCACCGGAAGTAACCCGCCAAAAATGCCCCGCCGCCACGCCCGATCAGTTGTAAACATGGGGGTTTGGCGGGGGTTGGGAGGGGGGGCGGGTTCTTGGGAATCAGCTGAGATACCCGAGATGTATACTTGCTACTGAAAAATGACCATTTACGGCTCAACAGATGACAAAAGGCGTATAAAATCATATATTTTCTTTAAGCTAATAGAATGAGCCGTTCAAAAATGATAAGCGATCAAATAAATACAAACAGCGCAGAACACGATAGACTCAACAATTAGTTTTCTTATTTTGTCCATGTAGGTTATGAAGAGCAATAAATAATAATGAAAGGATAATTTTGTAATGAAAGGTTAAAAAGGAAATTGGATCTACTTTGCAATTTAAAGTCTTAAAGGGAAAATTAAATCTGTTTTGTAGCCAAAGGTTAGAAAAGAAATTATTAATGGGTGGTTGACAGGTGCTCTAGTGTGGTTTGCTCTTTCTTTCCTATCAAACAGCTACCGTCCTTATCTCTCCTCCTTCTTTTTTGTGTTTGTTACTCTCTTGTACCACCTCTTATCTTTGGCACTTATATTATCTAAATTTTGTCGCAAGTCCAGTAAAACGCTCAGTAAAACTTAAGAAAAGGAAATTGTAAATTCGATTTTGTGTTAAATGATCAAAAGGAGAATTTAAGTTATTTTGTACTCATATTCCTCACACTCTGTCTTGTGTACCTCTCACAGTCTCTGCTGACCCTGAGCTCGCCTGTGACTTCGGGATCAGTACAAGTGGCCTGTCGGGCATCTGTGGTTGCCTCCCTTGATGATGCAGAGGCGGAGATTGGTAGCCCTGACTGCTCCTTCAGTCCTTCGAGCACAGGTACAGAAGAAAGTTGTGTTTAGTATTTGCAAATGTGTTGCAACACGACAAAATGGGCCTCATGTCATATTTTTACAATATAACAGTTTGATATCAAACAGTTTACAACCATTCCTCTGTCGGTTGCCACTGTGCAGCGCCTTGTATTTTTAGCTAGGGTTGTCATGTCTTGCTCAAGGACACACCCCAGTGACCACCAATCTGATCCGTGTGTCACCGACACTTGCTTGACATTACTTTAGTCTAAACTCACTACTCACTTTACCAATGGAACGCCTCCTGAAATGATCACAAAAGTGTAATATTATATTAGTTCAAGACCCCCCCCCCCCCCCCCCCACCCCTTTCTTACACTTTTCTTACAGGAGCCAAAGACATCCCCCCCCCCCCCGAGGCGTAAGATTATATTTGAACGGCCCCATAGGCGTGAAAGGTGTTGAGCGAAAGAACAAAGAAATGGTTAAAAATTTCCAAACCTGCGGAAAAAGGATGGGTGGCCTCGATTTTGTTCTTCTGACGAGTGCCTGATTTCTCCTCAACTCAAAGTCTCACAAATATTCTAGGCCAACATCAAAAAGTTTATGACTTTCCAGAGAAATGTTTACAGTTACATCTGATAGAGTGCTGCATTCCACTCAGCCTGAGATAGCTGAGGAGAGAAGCAGCCTGCCTCTTAAATTATGTATTTTTTAAAAAGAAATAATCGTAATTATAATTATAATAATTGTAATTATTATTAATTATTTTTTCAGTTAATTTTTTTTAGTCAGTCTTTGCCCAGTCTCAATATTTCTATTTCTTCTTTTCTGATTGTTTCCTGAACTAATCTTTGCTTTATCTCAATTCCCACCCCCATCCCGGATTGTTGCTGTCCCATCTGCCATTATTCTTGGTGAGTACTGTGCCCCTTTTGAGGTTTTAAAAAAATTTGGGTCATTGTTGAGTTTTACAGTCTTACGTCTGTTTTTATTCACATGATGATTGAGTTTTGTAAATTTGTCTCTATTTTTTTTTTAACATCATGAGTCAAGTTCGCAGACTTCTAATGTTTTTGTTTTTTTGTTAACATGGTAATGGACCTATGCAGTCTCATGAATGTTTCTTTTTAACAAGATGATTGAGTTTTGCAGGCTTGTGTCTGTTTTGATAACTTCTTGTTTGAGTTTTAACTTAGTAAGAGTTTTGTGGCACTTACAACACAATTAGGTCTTATATATAATATACAAAATTAAATATTTTACTAGAGAGTAAAGTACAAAGAAAATATGGAGAGACTGTAGTTGTTTGATAAGAAAAGGAGCAAACCACACCAGAGCACCCGCCAATTACCCACTGTTTGAGTTTTGCCCACTTATTTCTGTTTTTATTACCATGGTGGTTTAGCATGGCAGAGTTGCTTCTGTTTAATTTAGGTTTTACTTCTTTTCTTTCCGTCTGTCATTTCTGTCCGTATCTCTTGATCTTTATCTGTACTAAATGGTCTTCATTTCGTAGAGGTGCTTTTTGTTACTCAAACAAATCTTCAGTGTAAATTGAATTCTCCTCTATGAATGCTCATGTGTGTCAAGACATGAGGAGTCAGGAGCTCATCAGTTTGGGGACATATGGAGTTATTGATATCATCTTAACGCCTGTTTATTTGCCTTTGTTTTCAATTTTAAACAATGCCCGTTTATTTTTAAAAGAACTCGAGATATTTGGGATTGAAGGAAGTGGGTATCGCCTGGTGTCAGAAATAGAATATAAGACAGAAAATGCCTGCCAAAATTTGTTGACCTCCAAAGTTTGGGTGTCCTTGGAAACTGCAAATTTACATTTTTTGTGTCTTTAATTAATTAACGTTTTTCCAGTATAATCCTCACAGAAATTTTTTAAAGAGGATTTATAACGTGTTGAGCCCAAAAACAAAAAAATTGATAGAAATTGCCCATCGGGCAAAAAACCCGCAGATTTCTTTGTTTTCATTATTTTGAAAAGCACCTGATTTTCCCATGATACAACACATATTGTCTTTGTTATTGTTTGAGTTTGTGGTTTGAAATGCTCCTGTTGTCATATATCTGATTCTTTGTGTTATTTTTCAAGCCTGTACAAATCCCTCCTGTTGCCACGGGCAACAACACCTTGGACAACTTCACCACTCCTGCTGCGCCTGTGTCAACTGTATGGCCAGACCCGGCCTCTTCTTGGGCGGTCGTCGACTCTGTCTTTGACATTCCGGTAAGACTCATCTTTTTACAGGGCTGATGTGGGTTTTTTTTTCAGATAAAGTCAACTCTGCTCTGGTCTAATGGCCATGGCGTGTCAATCCGAAACAGTCGCCTGTATGAACAATCATTTCCCATTCCCCCCCCCCCTCCCCCACACACACACACTTTTGTGGGGTTTTTGGTTCAGTATCATGACACTTTTTAAGATGGCCACCTGCCTAAGACAACCACTTTTCCCCTCAACAATGGGTGACTGTTTTGAACAATTTGGACTGTTTTTGAGCATGTGGTTAACGGTAGGGGTGTGTGAGTACTCAAGTATATAGGTTCTCTGTGAATACTCACTCTAGTAGTTTTTAAATACTTGAGAACTCTCTCCATTCAAAACCTCTGAATACTTGGGTAGCGATTACCGGTACTTTTCACATCGGAACCTTTAGTAGAAACAAATATTTTACAGTTTTCATTGTTTTCATTTGTTGTTGCATTGTATAATTTTTTATTTTTCTTGTTTTTCTTTTTGGACTATTCATATCATTCCATTAATTTTTTTTTTCTGGCTGGGTTGAAGACGGTTTCTTAAAATTTATTCAACATCCAATAAGAAAAAAACCTTAAACGTTTTGATTTAAATGACGAGAGAAGAGTAAAAACTTAGCCCACAGTGCTTAAATACTATTTATAATGCATGCTGATTCCTGATTTTTATTGAGAAAGATGGACCTCGGCAATGGTTTCACACTTACTTTGATTAATTTTCTGATCCAGCAGTTATTCGAGATCTGTTGTGGTTTGCTCCTTCTTTTCTATCAAACATCTATCATCCTTAGCTGTCCTCTTTTTTTGAGTTTGTTATTTCTTGTGACACTTGTAATCTTCTGCACTTATATTGACCTAATTGTGTTGCAAGTGCTGTAAAACTCTTTACTAAAACTAAACCCACCTTCTTTTTTTATATATTGTAATGACTCTGTCCAATATGCTGGTCTGTCAAAGCAACCTCTTTTCTCTTTGTGTGTTATTGTCAGCTTTATCTTTCTCTTCATTATTGAATTTTTATGAAAGTACTATATAATGCAAATTCAATGTATATCTACATGTGTTTTTTTACCATTTCTGTACAGCCAAGTACATCTTATCTTTATCTTGTATTGTCTTGTATTGTCTTGTTCTTGTCTTACCTTATCTGAACAGTAGGCTACTGTCTTGGACAAGTTTGACTATACCACATTGGTGGTTGACGGGTGCTCTCATGTGGTTTGCTTCTTCTTTCCTATCAAACATTTATCGTCTTTATCTCCCCTCCTTCTTTTTTGTGTTTGTTACTCTCTTGTAACTCCTCTAATCTTCGGCACTTATATGACCTTATTGTGTTGCAAATGCTGTAAAACTCTTGCTAAAACAGACTTAAACAAAAAACATTTTTACAGTATGATGAATGCTACTCGCTTTTGTCCCCCCCTGCCAGAGCCTCTCCAACCCAGCACAGACGTCGTACAAGCCAGTAACAGCGCAGAGGCTGTCAGCCCCCGTGGACACACGCATCGAAGTCGTAGTGACCACGTGCTGCGTCCAGTCGTCCAGCTCCAACAGCCAGTATCAGGGTCAGTCAGCGGTGGCGGTGGCTGTAGCCAACCTCAAACCCTTGGCTTGTAAGAACTGCAATGCCACGGACGGTGAGTGAGAGATTGCCGCCCGCTAGGTTTTGTGGGTTTTTTTTTCAAATATGACTGAAATTGTCCAAGATGGTTGGTCGCCCATCGTCGAGGAGAAAATTGGTTGTCTTAGATGGATAGATGTCACGCAGATTGTCACTATAATATTGAAAAAGGGCAAGGGGAGAAGTGGAAAGTTGTCGTTTGTACAGGCGATTGACCTGGACAAGTGGCTATAAAAGCGGGTTTGACTGTACTTGTTGGAGTTTCCAAGTAGACAGATGGAAGTAGGCTACTCGATAGAAAATATTTCCCCACTCAGGAGTTGAACTCATGTCTTCTGTGTGCTACTGTGCTACAATGAAGGGCCTTACCATTACACTGCAGACGTTGGTTTTATGTGAGCATTGATATATGTTTGTGGGTGCATTATATTTAATGTGTGAGTTAAAACATGTGTACATGACATCAATGCGAATTTACAGTGTGAAACATGTGGAGTAGAGCAATATGATACTACCTTTTATGCCATTGTTCTTATTTTTCTGTTAAGTAGAATTTGTATCGTTTTTTTAAATCGCGGTGGAATTTGTGTTCATCCTGAGCCCACCCCGTCAATGGTAGAGCCAACTCTTACAGAGAATTTTCTTGCTCTTTCACTGTAGCGCAAAGAAGATGTCATTTAGATTCATGTGGGGAGGTTTTTTCATTGAGTATCTCGTCTGTCTGCTGGGATGCTGTATCCCAATCAACCTAGGATTTTGTTAACAGGCCGGGATGTGAAAAATGTTCTTTGATGTTACTAATTACTCAAGGGTGTTTACGTCCCAACTCAAACATATCATCGCCCCTGTGATAAGACTGGCTAACCCTGATTTTTAAAAATTATTTAACGAATTGATTGTACATTTCCCATTTCATATGCTCAGTCAAAGACAGGCTTGAATTTACAACAGAAATGCTCCTAAAATGTTAGAAATTAAGCGGACACCATGCTACCTAATGAAACTCTGTAAGTATTTTGCTTCTCCTGTAAATTTTATTGTCTGGGATCTGCTGGTCTTATCTCAAGGGCGACGATATCCTGATGGCTAGAGGTGATTCTGTCCACATTCCTTGTATTGAGAAAAGTGGATTTTTAGGGAAAGTTGTCATAGGCAACTCTTGGACATACAGTAGCTCATCCATCAATGTCTGATGATGACCAATACAATCTCAGAGGAGAATGTTTCTCCAGGGAAAGAAATATATATTTGAAGAATTAAAGGTTATGATGACTTGTGGCTTCTGCTGTGGCAGATAAGACCTATTCTGCAACTCTTGGACATAGACACATCAGGAACGGCGAAAGACCGGTTTTATAAATACAGACGTGATGCAATGTTGTTTGGTTGTTTGAATGGCTCCGTTATGTTATTTTTGACAGTTTAAGCCTAAAAAATGTGGTCAGTGTCACTTCCCAATATTACACACTTTTTTTTGGTCTGTTGCCCATTTCCATGAGATTGACGCCATCTGATTAGTAGAAAAAGAAGGGTATGTTAGTCTTCGATAGTGTATTACGTACATAATTAATGTAACATGAAACTGTTACATCTATAGAAATTCAAGCAATGTTATACTCATGAAATGTCTTTCGCTCCTTCAGGAATCTCACAGACTCTTCTAAACCCTGGCTATGTGGAAGTAGCTCCGTGTCCGTGCGACCTCACCAAGGCGGCCTGTGATTTCAACTGCTGCTGTGACGAGGTAAGATGTTGGTGAGCACCGTAAAACCCTTATCAGTGGGTGGTTGGGGGCTGCTGTGGTGTGGTTAGATTTTTTCCCCTATCAAACATCTGCAGTCCTTATCGCTCCTCTTTGTTTTATTGTGTTTGTTACTCTCTTGTAACACCTCTAATCTTCAGCTCTTATATATGATCTAATTGTGTTGCAAGTGCAGTAAAACCTGACTGAAACAGAATAAAGCTCTTAACAAGCTGAACCGATGACTTAACAAGTTTGCGTATGTCATTGAGAAATTGATTGTGGCGCTAATTTTGTTTTATTTACAATGGTCATTGCTTGCAGAAGATGCGAGTTTGATTCCTCGTATAGGGAAGCTGTTTTGTCAAGTATCTGCCTCAGTTTGTTTGAGTTCTGTATCCTTGCTGGTAGATGCAGGATACCATTGGTAGGCCTGTTTCTTTTCTTTCTTTCTGTTGCTTCTGTCTCTTCAGTCTTGCATTTTCCTAGCTATAAATAGCCTTTATTTATTTTGTGGGTCGTTGACAGGTGCTCTGTCTGATGTGGTTTGCTCCTTCTTTCCTATCAAACATCTATCATTCTTATCTCTCTTTTTTTGTGTATTTGTTTCTTTTGTGTAACACCTCTAATCTTCAGCTCTTAATGATCTTATTATGTTGCAAGTGCTGTAAAACTCTTACTAATACCAAACTGACCTGTATTTTGTCTCTTTACTCACACAAAATCATCAGGACTGCAACGCCGCGGAAAGAGACAGGTTCAGCGAGTGCCTGCCAGGACTGGAAGGTGGCCAGGGGGCCGATCCTGCCAGGTACAGCTGTTCCTCCAAAGCCTTCGACTTACCAGACTGGCAACCGCTAACCTGCGTGTTCTACGAGAACAACGCCTACCTGGGATTATTTTACGCCAACGTCCAAAAGCTGAGCTCGCTTGAGCAGGTCCAATTTGAAGCCAGTTCCAAATACAAAGGACGTTTCTCCTTGAGGTATGTCATGCGATTGTTTGTGATTGTGTGAAGGGAGTTGGATGCTTTTGCGTTGTATACATGTGTGTTTTGTGGGGGGGGGGGGGTTGCCTGTAGGTGTTTTTCACTTTTCCATCGACATAATTTAGATAATTTCGGAGGCAGGCTTATGAACTTGCCTGTCAGGGCCAGCCAGGGCTTAGAGGGATACAACATCCTAGCAGAAAGGCTGAGATAATCTATAAAAATTTTCTCCTCACTCGGGAATAGAAACGGGGTCTCCTGCTCGTGACAGTGAAACAACCAACTGCTATCAAGAGATGCCGATGTACATGTCTGTGTGTGTGTGTTTGTGTGTGTGTTTGTGTGTGTGCGCGTGTGTGCATGCGCGGCTATGTGTATCTGTGTCTGTGTCACATTTCACTTTTATATTTCACAAGCACCTCACACTTTACATACAGCACCACAGAGCACCTTACATTATACTATAGATAGCGAAAGATCTTGTCGGTTTATTAGTGTTAAAGTGCTTAATGAGCCGCTTGCACTGAATGCTTCCTGGGAAGCCAAGAATGTTTCTTGAGTGTTATAGGATCTGTTTCAGTAATAATATTATAATATTGTATAAAACCCACAGAGTTTGCTGTCAAGCAGGGATGTGCGCTATAATAAATGCTATTTATTAATATTTACTATTATTATGCCATTTAAAAAATATGCTTTTTTGTGAGACAATCAAGATTTGTCTACATAGATATGGCTAGGGCATCATATCGTTATTTTAAAACAAAAATTATTTTTTTTTCGTGCCTTTCAGCGAGACGGAATCAAGATATGAGAACAAAGACACAACTACTGCATCCTATAGCTATGGTGTCAGCGTATCTACGCTTCGTGCCGACCAACTAACCACCGGCAGGCTGGCGCTGTCCCAGGGGGGCCCAGGGGGGTTCTGTAACCCGCTGAGTCCCGTGCAGTTTCTCGTGGACTCGGAGGCTGTGTGTGCTGTGACCTTGACCCAGGGCCAGTGTGTGTCGAACACAGTGTTTAGTGGCAATGTGTACGCTGTGTCGTCTGCCATACAGGGATGTTCTCAGTCTTTCAAGGTGAAATATTTATATATGTATGTGTCACAATGCGGTGGAATTCAGACGCTGGTTGATTTTTGGGCATGTGGAGTTATTGGTATCATCTTAAAGCTTGTCTATGAGTTTCGTGTTCGATGAGAAATAATACCCATCTATCTTGAATAGAAGTCGAGATATTTGTGATTGAAGAAGGTGGGGTTTCCTGGTATCAAAGGTACAATAAGTGACAAAATGACCTCGGAATTTTGGGGCTTTCCATAGTTTGAGAATTCTTGGAAACTGAAAAATTACATTTTTATGCCTTTAATCAGCATTTTTCAGTAAAATCCCCACAGAAATTTGTGTTCAAATGGACTTAAAGGGTGTTGAGATTTTAAAAAAAGAATTGATAAAAATTGCCAAATCGATGGGAAAATGCCGGTTTCTTAGATTTCATTATTTTAACTAGCGCCTAATTTCACCGTGCTGCCTCATATATGTCTTTCTTTCTTTTTCTCTCTTTGTTCCTTTCTTCCACTCTCTCTCTCTCTCTCTCTCTCTCTCTCTTTCTCTCTCTCTCTATCTCTCTCTCTCTCTCTGTCTCTCTCTCTCTCCGACTCTCTCTCTCATGCTTACTGATGTAGAAAATTGTGTTGAGATATTGTGAACTGACTGAGAGAAACTGAACAAATGGATGATGGGAGAAGACCAGGGTATTATAGGTTGGATTTTTTTTTAGAGCTCCTAAGCAGAGAAAGAGGTGGCAAACAAATACTGCTGATGGCTATTTCAGATCTAGCACTATGGAAAATGAACATTTAGCTCTAATTTTATCACAAGAGAAGTTTTTTTAACTATGGAAAAAAAACCCAAATCTAATTCTGTGAAAGAGTGTTTTGCTGTAATATAATTGTAACAAACTTATGTTGTTGTTTTTGGTTTTTATTAAAACAAATTGTTTGAATAACATGCAGCAAAAAATATAAGCCAAAACGTTAAACTGTGCCTTCCATTGGATGGAACCTCTATTTTTTTCATGCAAATATCTTCATGCAGGAGCCCAAATAAATTACCCTTTTTTTTGCATTTCCTTGGAAAGCCAATACTCATGAGTGATTATGGCAGCAATGCGAGAGGGGAGTAAACTTCATCATCTGTTTTAGTACTGTTGATGAACTGAACAAGTTGCTGTTGCAGGAGACCCAAGTTCGATTCCTGAGTTGGGAGATAATTTTATCAAGTATCTCAGTCTTTCGGCTAAGATGTTGTATCCCTCTCATCCCGGGTTGACCCCGACAGGCAGGATCGGAAGCCCACCTCATAAATGACCCAAATTGTGTCAATGGAGGTGTAAAAACACCTACGTTGAAAAAAAAAAACTAGCAAAAAGAAATCTTTCTCAAACCTGTGTAAGGCGGCCAGCCATTGTCAAGGAGAAAAGTGGTCGTATAAGACAGGTGGCCGTCTTAGGCAGGATTAATCAAGACGAAGAAAACAAACCATTCCCAATCGAAAGTAGCCCCATTGTTATTGTCTTTGTTGTTGTTGGTTTGTATTTCGTTTGTAATTTTTATTTTGTTGCTGATTTTGCACAAGGGTGACAGTGACAGTAAAACCGAATGTATCAGACAAGGAGGACCGAGTGCTATGGTAAAACAAACAGATGGGTCACCACCACTCGGAGAACGAGCGACGCTTCTGTCTCAAGTTCATGTTGACGTCCATTTTTACTTTGTTACAGACTGGGTAAACAGTGACCACTCATCTCTCTTACGATTTGTGTACGAGTTCTGGACGGGGCTTATGGGTTATGAGGGATCACACGGTTACCTCACCAGCAACTGAAAATTGGTACCTATTAGTATTAGTCAACAGTGGAAGGGGCCAATGCAACATGATCTGTTGGAGGGACTACCTAACAACAACGACAGGTGATTGAATTATGACGGCTCACCCACAACGCCAGGGGCCGATGCACAATTTATGACAAAACGTAATAGATTCACTAAGGTGGCTGTCTAAGACAGGTGTCATTGCTTAGTGTGATAGGGGTTGTGCGTTCAATTATGGTGGCCGCGGCCGCCTTGGACAGGTGCCCGTTTTACACAGTTAAATTATATAGAAAAAATGCAAGGGGGGAAATGGAAAGTGGCCGTTTGTACAAGTGGCCGTCTTATAGAGGTGGCCGTCAGGGCAGGTTTGACTGTTGTTTGCTCATTGGTTGTTTTGATCAACAGGTAACCAGCACCTTTCAGGGCACGAACTTGGCCCCCGCAGATGTGCGCTATTACTGCGCCACTGATGTCAGCGGCTACCTGAGCTCAACGCCTGGCACAACAATAAGTGACCTTGACCCTCAAGTATCTTCCAACTTCCCAGCAGATCTCTCAGGCCTCCAGTGTAATGACGGGTGTTCTGAAGCGGTGAGTTTTCTCCTTAAGCTTATTATTTTTTTTTCTCTCTCTCTCTCTCTCTCTCCCTCTTTCTCCCTTTTCCCCTTCCTTTCTCTCTCTTCCTCCCCCCCCCCCCTCTCTCTCTCTCTCTCTCTCTCTCCCCCCCTCTCTCTCTCTCTCTCTCTCTCTCTCTTTTTCTCTCTCCCTCTTTCTCTTTTCCCCCCTCCCTTCACCCTTTCTCGCTCCCTTCCTCCCTCCATACATCCATCAAGCCCTATCTAACTGCCTTATAAATCTCTCCTCTTTCTTTTCATTGTTTATTACTCTCAAGTAACACCTCAAATCTTTTTTGTTGCAAGTGCCATAAAATTCTTACTAAAACTAAAATGAAAAGCTGGTTGTTTGTCAAATTAAACTTTTGTTGACAGGCGTGCTGGCAGTACAACACAGGACGGTCCTCATCAGACGTTTCCCTGCTGCCAGGGCAGTGTTCATGGGACTCTGGATTCACCCCACCCCTCATGCCCGCCATGAATGGTGCGACCTGTGAGAATGTTGTTCTGGAGGTCAGGTGAGGTCACATCGTCTTTGCTGTCCGCCCTTGGAGGGGGGGGGTGAAAATGACCTGATTTTATACGGCTGAAATTGTCCAAGACGCGCGCCCCCTGTATTGTTGAGGAGAAAAGTGGTTGGCTTATACAGTTTAATGTTTTGGATAGTGCCATCGCAGTACCGAAAAAAAAAATACAAAAGGGTGTGGGTGTGGAGTGGTCATTTATACAGGTGATTGTCTTAGACAGATGGTAGTCAAGGCAGATGTGACTGGGTTGATTGAAGTGTAAACATCTCGTGTTTTGTTTTTTAACATTTCCCCACAGATACAATTTTGAGTGGTCCGGGTCGGAAATCACAAAGCTGACGGCTGATGTAATTCTGGGGAACATTCCCAATGTGGGTGCCGGTGACGTCAGTCTGATGCAGAAGTTCTCCGTCAACTGGCAGGCCAAGCCAAACGCCAGTCTGTCACTGTCGGACAACTATCAGCAGACCCTGGAACCCTATGCCCGCTCTGGGACTGGAGGTAACAAAAATGTTTTGAGTTTGAGTCTAGAAAAAACGGTTGAAATGAAAATGTTAATACCCTTCATGACCTATATATGACGTACGCTGTTGGTAATTTTTTTTTCTTGTTCGGCGAAGGAGCCAAGATGCTACTATGATGTATGATGTTCGTCATGCTTTGTGAAACTCAAGGACCATGATGACTAATGGCCTGTCGTCATAGGTTGTATTCTGCATACTGCTTCTATTAGATGCATTTTGTATTAATTTATGTAAAACTAATCGTAGATTTACCTTCAGCTATACTTTTTTTATCGTACAAAGAAATCTTTTCCTTTTAGAGATAGTAGTTTACAAACCAGGTCAAATTATAGGCAACTGGCCACTAAATCTAGCTCAACTCTTTGTTCCTGGGGATCCAAAACTGTGCCCGTTGAAGCACGGACTAACCCTCTGTCACGAAGGGGATAACCCCTTAACTGATTCCGTCCATTCGGCCGCAGACAGCGGCTCTGAGTTTTTCCGCAGCCTCCATTCGGCCGCTGTGAGCGGCTCAACGAAATCCGAAGCAAAGGTGCACTTTTTACCTTAGTTCCTACTTTTTAAGTTGTCGAAAGGAAGTAGAACTTGTAAACAAACCTGACCTCAATCTCTGAGTGCCAATATCGATCGAAACTCCGCGAAATTCTTGCAAAAATCGTTATTTTGTTGTCGCGATGTAGGCTAGATCTAAGGGTAAACAACACGGAGCCTGGTATAATAAAAAGGTTCTTCAAAGAAAGATATTCAACTAAATTTGTGAAATTCTTGCATAAATGTGTGCTAGGGTGATATCGCTACAATGTTGTGTTGATTCCTATGGATTATAAGGACTTGTAGAGCTGAGAAAATGCGATAAGTCGAAATTTTCGAAGAGCTGTTGCGCAATTTTTTTTTCTTATCGTTTTTGTCAGAAGGAAAATGCAGTACAAACAGATTATAGGTCATTTTTATTGATATAAACAGATTCTTCTATTTATTCCCATCAGTTTGGTATATGACAATATATATTAGAGTAACTTAGAGCTTCACAGTAATGCATTAAATAGATGCACCCCAGGTCTAAAACTGAACAGGGAAAAATAATTCTGTCCAGAGCCTGAAAAAATCATGGACGGAATCAGTTAAGCCCTGGCCTCTGGTACACCTGGTACACCGATGAGCAAGGCTGCATCTATTTGTTGGATTTCTGACGCCTGTATTTATCAGCCAATCAAAACAGCTGTATTATATTTGATTCAGCTACGGTCTTGCCAAATGTCTGCATCCATGTTGACGCTGTGAGTGTGTAGTTTGGTAAAAAATAAATCAATTTCATCAAATATAAGAATGGGGGGGGTGAATCGCTCAAAAGGTCAGACAAATGGGATCATGATAGCCTCAAGAGGTTAAGACTCAAAGAGATATGTAATATTACGTGTTAATAGCTGTCAAATGGATGAACATTGTGGTAATGAGTATGGGTTGATAAAGGGTTTAAAACAAAATTGTTCAGGAAACATCAAAAGTTACAGCTATCAGACTTGTGGTCACTGGGATGCTTCTGAGGTTAATTTATCAAAATAAAATTTTCTGGAGTGATTTCACCTGCTGAAGTACATTTTCAAAACGTTTCAGCTTAAAATAGGTTTGTCTGAGAATACATTCACACAACCCTTTAAAAAAAAAAAATTATAACTCTGTTTGGAAGGAATGTGTGTCTAAATGAATGTTCTATTAAAGTTGCTGTTTGTTGATGTAGTTAAATGTGTGAGTTGGTGGGTGCTCTGGTGTGGTTTGCTCCTTCTTTCCTATGAAACGTCTGTCATCCTCATCTCCCCTCCTGCCTTTGTTTAGTATGTTGGGCTGTGATGATGATGATGATGGTGATGATGAATTGAGCTATGATGGTGATGAAATAGTGAAACAAAAGGGGGGGGGAGTAAATTTTATTTTTTGTTTTTGTTCAGGGTATGAACTGGGCGAGTCTCTGCCCAGTGGCTGTGCTGAGTACAACTCGACAACTGGTCAGTTCCAGCAAGTGGACACAAGGACAGAGAAACAGATGGCCATATGGAAACCTGGTGAGTGCTCAGATTGACTATTACTACAACGCTTTTAAGCAACAAATAGTCATCACTCATAAAGTTTTTTAAATATTTTTTTTATATGGTGGCTCTGTATCATGCCCAGTAACTTTCTGCTAAGGTTCAAAATTGGACCCATTAAAACCAAGTTCTTTTTATTTGATTACCATTGTTTTTTGTGCTTTACCATTGAAAATTTTGATATTTTATAATTTGTCATACACTCATACTTTCTAATTTTCCTAATGTGCCAAATTTGAAAAAAAACACCAAAAATATATATCTATTACAGTCTATCATTGTCTCTATCATCAGTATGATTATAATATTTATTTTTATTCTGTACAATAAGAGTTTTAATAGTTATTCTGAACTGAAAACTCTGACTCTACCTGACTACTTCCTTCATCAGGAACTGATGGGCTCTGTGCGAACGCTGAGCGAGAGACCTTGACCTTTGGGGATGACGCTGAGTCCTCATGCATTCTTCAACTCAACTTTGACTATCTCAACAACAGTTGTGAAGAACTGCGGTGAGACTTTTTACGCTGAAATGCATTGTTTAGAAATAAAAATAAAGTTGCAAATCCTTTCCTCCCTTATCTTTGGGCGCATTCGATGAAAAAAAATACCCGTCTATCTAGATAGAATAGAAGTCGAGATATTTAAGTTGGAAGAATATGGGGGTCACCTGGTTTCAGAGGTAAAATTACCGAGAAATTAGCTGCCAAAATTTGGCTGCTTCCATAGCTTGAGAGTCCTTGAGAAATAAAATTTTACTTTTTTTGTGCCTTTAATCAACATCTGTCTGTAAATTCCTTGTAGAAATGTGTTTAAATAGATGAAAAAGTTGCTGAGACCGAAAACAAAAATTCAGAAAAATTGTCACTACGATGCCTCATAAATGTCCTTATGTTTATTTTTTTGGATGTGTCTTTATGGGGGTTTTTGTCTGGTTTTTTTGTTTTTTTAAATACGGAGTAGAAAACTGATCTCCTGCCACCTAGATGTCCTGATGTTGGCGGTGTATGGTTAGGCTGTTTGGCTTGCAAACAAAATCATGTCAGAGGCCCCAAGTTATATCTTTGGGAAAGGCATTTCATACAGTCATACATATTTTTCTTATTTCACCCATGTAAGAATGGATTCCCGGATATAGACAACGAAGTTCCTGTTCGTTTGTTTGTGTTTTAGTGTGGCAAACTTTTCTCTTCTAGAATTGGTCTCATTGCCCACAGCAGAACCCACAAGTCATCATAACCTTTAATTCTTCAAATTTTTCTATTTTGCTGGAGAAATATTCTCCCATGTGGATGTATTGGTCATCGTCAGACGTAATCTGCAGTTTTACTGTACTGTTATCATCTAATGGTAATATATGAGAATGCTTTTGAGTGTTCTAGTTCTAGTGTCTGTTGCGATAGTAATACGAATAATAGCAATTGTAAAGCCCATAGAGCTCGCTAGCTCGCTGTTGAGTGCGGATACGCGCTTTACAAATGCTGTATTGTTGTGATCTACTATTATCTTTATTTTTCTCTATTCTGTTTTATACATGTGGAGCAGAGAACTGATCACCAACCACCTCAATGTCCTGATGGCATCTAGCGTGATAGGAAAGACAGGCTACAATGACCTGACCTCAGAGGACATGTGGATACCTGTCCTCAGGTGAGTGTGTCTTCATCTTCTTCTTCTTCTTCTTTTTCTTTTTCTTCTTCTTCTTCTTCTCTTCCTCCTTCTCCTCCTCCGTGTGTTTTACATTCTCCCCTGGACTGAATAACAGGTTATAATAATTGTGTCAATGTATTTCTCTGTACTTAAACAAACAAAAACATTTAAACCATTGACAATTATGTTAATATAGTCCATTGTCCAGGAGAAAAGAGGTTGTCTTAGACAGGTGGATGTTTTGGACAGTGCCGATATGTTTTTTTAAGGGTGAATGTCCTTGACAGGTGGTCATTGCAGCAGGTTTTGACTGTACCGGTATTGTGTACTGACTGTGTCAGCCTATATATTGTTAAAGATATTTTTTTCTTCCAATCGCTTCCAGACAAAACCTTTCCGAAGTTTTCCTGATGGCCACTGGCGACATTTCATCCAACACCAGCAGCTTGAATGAGTCAGAGCCATTGTTCAGTTGGGCCGAGCGAATCCCTGGGATCTGTCTGGTCCCCTCAGGTGCGGAGCTGATCGTACTGTACGCTCAGACAGGAGCCAGGGACTACTACCCGCGACTGGAAGTGCTCGGGGCTTACATCAAGTGAGTGTGACGCAGTATAGAGATGGGAAGAGTTGAGAAGAGTTGAAACATTGAGAGCTAACATTGAGATCCTGTGTAGCTAAACACTATACAGTGTCATAAATGAATCAAAAAAATTTACAGATCTGATTTTTGTCTGATCATTCAAATTTATGTCTGGTTTTTTTTTTTTTTTCCTTTTGTCTCTGTCGTTATACTTTATCTCAAACTAACAAACAAATTCACATCTGTTTTTTTAAAAAATCTGATCATTTCCATCGTTACTCAATGTGAAAAATAAACAAATTCACATCTCTTATTTTGTCTTATTATTCAAATTCACGTCTGTTTTTTGTCTTAATGTTTACATGGTGTCTAAAACAAAGCCACATTTGTTTTGTTTTTTGTCTGATCATTTCCACAGCTACACAGTATCCAACTGGACCATGAACTGTGCCGGCGCCAACAGTCAGCGATGCAGCCCAGGCTCAACATTCACTCAAAACTTCTTCGTATCCAGCAGTGTTCGGTTCGTCAAAGTCCCGCCTGTGCCGCCTGCACCACGAATCAGGTCAGTGAGAATGATTTGTTTTGAGATGGGGTTTTTTTTTGGTGTAAAAATAAACTTGCCCCCCCCCCCCCCCCCCCTTCCAGAACTTTTAGAACTAACTTGATGCTGTTCAGTCTAGCTCAACCATAGGGAGATCGGCAGGATGCAGAAATCATTTAATAATATATGATTACAAATTTTGCTATGTTTGTGTTTTAAATACTAAGAGTATACAGTAGAAAGCTCATGTAACAGGGATGGTGGGACCAGAGAAAAAGTCCTGTTATATCAGATCCCTGTTAAATCAGAAATGCAAGGGAAGTAAGCATTTGTGGACCAATCCAGCTGTATTTATTCTTGGGTAGTTTCCCTTGCCACAAGTACCATGTGGCAGGCCGGCGCATGAGAGATTACGCGTGCGTGTAGCTAGGCTTAGGGCTAGATCAAAGTCTGCAGCACACCGCAGCCCTCTCTAGCTTCACCCACTGTGTACTTGCACTTGCAGTGGTGTGGCATGCATGGGCTTGCTCCATCATTGCGTTACTCTCTCTCTCTTATTTTTTAAACACATTTTTAACGAGCCTTTGTCCCTGCTATAACCGATTTGGCCCTGATGAGGCCCTGTTATTGCCGATAACTTTTATAAGAGACAAAGAGCAGGAAAAGATGGGGATTTATAGAATCCCTGTTATTACCGGATCCCTGTTATTACTGGGCCTGTTATATATGGTTTCCACAGTACATGTAAAAATAAACTCAGGACCTGAAAATCTGTCCGCTATGTGCGTCTTTTAAACAGCTTTAAATGAATACGATAATTTGAAAACAGAGGTAAACCAATTGCAAATAGAACTCCATTTTTTTTCTCTTCTCTATTTGAGAAATCTTTCTAAACCAAAAACAGCCAAAACGAAGTAAATCCGGTGGTCCGGTAGATTTTGGGTTTTAGCGGACTCCATTGTTTCTTAAAATATGTATAATCTTTCGTTAGATTCTACACCAAGTTCGACCTGGACAACTGCGACTCCGACTCGTGCTACAGGTTCTTCACGGACTTTGTGTCGGACGTGTGCTATTACGACACGTGTTGGCAGGAGCTGGCCTACCCCTTGACGGAGGCATACCACGGGGAGTCTCGACACTACACGCTGCCATTCTTTCTCCTCACCGTACTCGGGGTGATTGGCTACGTGGCAGTGACTAAGCCCGGCTGGAGCTGAGGGCAGTCGACTGTATGGGATTTGTGTGTAAGTGTGTTCGTTTGGGATAGAGGTCCTGAGGATGTGAGAGAGGTCTTTGCTTGTTTGGGATAGACATTGCGAGAATTTGAATGATTGTTTTCTGTCCCTATAGAATTATGCAAATTTAGATGGCCAAATTATGCCCCAAAAAAATCAAAATCATGCCAAAATTATGCAAGTTACTGTAACACCATTCGCGACATGTTTTGCACTTTTTCAACACGAATTTTCATGATTTTCATGTTTTATGTACAAAAAAAAATTGAAAACAGAACATATCAGTAGGGCCTATCAGTAATTTGTTGTGTATTTGGAAAGAAAACAATACACATCAGTCAGAAAAAAACAACAACCAAAAAATTTAATCTCTGTAACTTTCAGCTGTAGATCTAGATTTATAGAGAAAAGAATTTTTTTTTTAAAAAAGGGACATATGGACCTCTGATGCTGGCACATTACTAAAACCAGGGACAGCTGTCAGACATGAAACATCAGCAGACATGAGAACAACAAATTTTGATGAATTGAAAAATTGAACATGCTCAAGGAACAAAATCCCAACGCATGACCAAGATCTTTTAACAAGGGAAATAACCAACTTGTCACTTAAATGAGACTTATTACGGTGATTACTTCCCTTTAGTCACATGGCGAGGGGTTAATTGTTTTGTGAAAAAACGTAGGGAATCCAATATTATGCAAATGTTGCAGAATTACGCGAAAAAACGCGGCCGCCATCCGCACAATCGCATAATTCTACGGGGACAGGTTTTTGTTTGTTTGGGATAAAGATTGTGAGGATATGAGAGTGTTTTTGTTTGTTTGGGATAAAGATTGTGAGGATGTGAGAGTGTTTTTGTTTGTTTGGGATAAAGATTGTGAGGATGTGAGAGTGTTTTTGTTTGTTTGGGATAGACATTGTGAGGATGTGAGAGTGGTTTTTTTTGTTTGGGATAGAGATTGTGAGGATGTGAGAGTGTTTTTGTTTGTTTGGGATAGAGATTGTGAGGATGTGAGAGTGTTTTTGTTTGTTTAGAGCATGCTAGTTTTTAGGACTTGTGATTGTTTGTTTGAGTAGAGAGAAACATATTGATACAATAACAGTCCTGATTTAGTGCTTGGAAAAAATCAGACATACAGACATAATTGAGTGAAGGGAAAGAAAAGTGTTTTTGTTCAGTTTGAAGAGAGGGAGGAAGTGAGATTAGTGAGAATGTTTTTATTTGTTTGACAACGCTGCACCATTCATTTAGTGCTGTGAAAAAGTAGGATAGATGCATGGAAATAATTGAAGGAAAGAAAAGAAGTATGTGTTTGATTGGAACAGAATTAAGGCATGAGAATGTTTTTGTTTGTGATGAGTTTGATGAAAAGAATAGTTTTGGATGAGTTTGAACCAGGCAGAGTGGTTTCTGTTTGTGAAAAGGTAGACAATATTTTTGTTTTCTCTTGAAAGGAAGAATATATGATTTTGTTTCCTTGTAAAAAGCTTGATGGACAGAGTAGTAGTATTTGGTGAGTCATAATTAAGAGAATGGCCATTTTGTTTTGCATGTAATGTGTATTGCTGACAAGTGAGCATGCAAAACTGAAATGTCAGTGATTGATAGCCAAGTGTATGTGTTGAGCTCTATTTCCAGTTTCTATAACGTGCCTTAGTAGAGTGAGTGTCTGTTGAAAGTGTTTGATACTTGGTAATATTTGATTATTGTTTATTTCATTGTATACGAGTGATTCCATTGTTTGCCTTGAATGTGCAGCAGATTATGTAGCAATGATGCAAAATGCAGCAAAAGCTTAGAGGATCATATTTTCACTCATGTATTTCATCATTCTGATCTTTTGTCCTGTTTCTTATTTTCACCGACATCGTATGGTTCAGGATTCAACACGTTTTCAAGTGCCAGATCTGAAACAGAAATCAGCAACCGTGATTTACCGCTCATCTCTCTCTTTGAATGCTCTCCATAAACCTAAATATTAATATCATTATATTATTCTGGTCTTTTCCCCATCTGTTCAGTTTCTCTACTCACTCTTAAGTCTAAGTAAGGTATTTTTGGTCTACCTCTGTCTCTTTTGCCTTCAGTTTTTCCAGTGAGAGCTACAGCAAGTGACAGCAACTGCAAGGCAATTGAAAAGGCAGAACCTTCAAATTTTTAACATCCATCTCTGATAGGACTGAGCCAAACAGATAAAGAGCCATGAAAACTCCCCAAACAACCTGAGTTCAATAAATTTTTGTGAACTATTCAAACCAGGGTCACCCCCATCACAGACTAATACGATTGATATTTACCCGTTTTGGTTTACCATGTTTTGAAATGTTGGCAACTCGGGGAGAGAAAAAATTGTAGATTAGTTGAAGGGGATTTGGTTTGGAAGTACCGAAATTCTCCACTTCATGATACTTCATCCTTTCTAGAAGACTGATGGACAATCAGACCAGATAAGTACACTTTACTTATAATCTCAAAGAATGTTACCATCTTCTATGAAAATGTTTGTTTCACATTCCGTCCATGAATATTCTGTACTTATGTGCTTAGCTGTATAGAATTTATAATAAATTATTCTTTTATAAAATATGATTGTTGTCTTTCTATCATTTTAACTTATAACATAGATGGAATGGCCTAATGTTGCTTTCTGACACAGAGCTAGTGGAGACTGTTGATTTTTAAACATCCCCACGATAATGGACATAATTTTAACCCTTACCTTATTTAGGCCACATCATATGGTAGATTTCTTGAACTAACCATGGATTCGGAAGGTTGAGATTCTACTGATCTTTTTATTTAGTGCGGGGGATTATTTCAAAATAGAGGATGATACTAAATGAAAAGTGGACCAAGGGTACGAGTTGTATGTGTGTGTGTGTGTGTGTGTGTGTGTGTGTGTGTGTGAGAGAGTGTGTGTGTGAGTGTGTGTGTATGTGTTTGTTTTGTGTGTGGTTGTGGTGAGAGAGAGATCTAGAGAGAGAGAGAGTAAATGTAATAGTGTGTTTGTATGTGTGTGTGTAAGTAATGTGTGAATGTTATTGTGTGCATGAGCGCCTATCTCAGTTGTACGGTCCAAATGTACCTTATTTTGTTGAAAATTTTACATAGAACTCTACTACAAAACACCTTTATACAAAGTCACAGAAATATTCTTTTTGTGCTTATTGAGGTACAGTACAGGGTGATTTTAAATTTTACCTGCAAGGATAATTGGACAAAATGGGCTGGCCATATTTTTATTGCTAATTGTCATATTTAGACAAATCCTATACCGGGTATCATTCTCTTTTTTTCTCTTAACCTCTCATGGTTATTAAAGAGTAAGCCAACTAAATCAAGGTAGTAATTTCGGATTCCTAATATTATGGGCATTCTTAAAATTTTTAAACTTGTTTTTAGCGCTTTTCTCAACATAAAACGGATTCTTTTAAAAAACCAACAACAATGACCTTATCTTTCTTTTTCAAAGTATTGTGCATACATTGGTGTGAAACTTTATATATTCTATGCTTTCAAGTACATGAAATAAGTTAATAAAGTCCAGCAAAATGTTCTTCAGAGACATAGATCTAGTAGTAGGCCCACAGAAACATTTTATAAACCGTGAAAAGATGACCTGAAAATAACAATATTATCTTATGATCTTCACTTGCACTTGCAATTAAAAAAAAAAATTATACATGTAGTCTACCTCATTATCTTTTTTTTCACATTTTTCTTCATGACAACTGGCATGTAGGCCCTATTGTTTTCAATTATTATCAAGGAAGTGGATAGGCGGACCACGGGGTCTATCTAGCCAAAAGGATAGGTGGACCCCGGGGTCTACCTAACAAAATGCTAGGTTTTAGGATGCGAACCCCAGAGTCAGCGTAGTGAAATAAGTAGATCTAGGTTTAACCAAGGATCGGTGGACCCCAGGGTCAACATAGTGAAATAAGCAGATCTCAGTTTATTTTATAGTAGTAGTAGGACTGGCGGAGCCCGTGGTCAACGTAGTGAAATTATAAGTAGATCTAGGTTTGATCAAGGATTGGTGGACCCCGGGGTCAACGTAGTGAAATCAGTAGATCAGGTTTAATAAAGGATTGGTGGACCCTGAGGTCAACATAGTGAAATAAGTACATGTAGATCTAGGTTTAATTTTGAGGATTGGTGGACCCTGGAGTCAATGTAGTGAAATAGGTAGGTTTAAGGTGGACCCCAGGGTCTTTGTTTTTGTAAGTGTTTTACGGCGCTCGCAACTGCATAAGGTCATATGAGCACGCGGGACACATTAAACTTTTTCAGTTGGTAGGAAATCTTGAATTTTGCCCGGGTGGCGGCCAAAGCCTACTCTTCTTATTAATTTTAGACCACCAAGGGATCTTTAATGTGCGCAACTTGCACACGGGCCCTCCGAGATTTTTCGCCCTGGTCCGAGAAGGATTATAGGTGTAGATCTTTCCTACCTGAAGATCAGGGGTGTGGCGGAAAGACAGCAGTATGAATTAGAAGCCAAGGAGTAGCAGTAGAAAGGCTGTAGAAAGAATCAGGAGCCCAGAGGAGTGGGGCAAAGGAGATGAGGGAGTGGGGACAGAAAGAGGAGACGAAAGCAGATGACAGAACATTGCTACAGAGCAGGAAAGGAGGTGAAAGGAGAGAAATTTAGAGAAGAAAATGTTTTGGTCACTACCCGGATTCGAACCCAGGACCTTTGAATGAGAGGCCAACACTTTAACCTCTAGGCCACGAGAGCCCCCACCCCAGGGTCTACCTAACGAAATACTAGTTAGGTTTTAGAATAGGTGGACCCTGCGGTCACAGTAGTAAAATAAGTAGGTTTAATCAAGGTGTCCCGGGGGTCCACCAATCCTTAATTAACCTTTTAATTCCTCTACGGCTATGGTGACTCCGGGGTCCACCAATCCTTTTAAAAATAAACCTACTTATTTCACTACGGTGACCCCGGGGTCCACCAATCTTTAAAGAAACCAACTTATTTCACTACGGTGACCTTGGTGTCCACCTTTCCTAAAACCTAGTATTTCGCTATATATAGACTCCAGGCCCCGGGGTCCACCTTAAACCTGCTTATTTATCACTACATTGACCCCGGGGTCCACCAATCCTTACTTAAACTTAAACCAAACCTTATTTCACTACGGTGACTCCGGGGTTCACATCCTAAAACCTAGTATTTCGCTATGCAGACCCCGGAGTCCACCTATCCTCTACAGGACTATACTATTACTATTATAATAAATCAATTTGCAATTTTCGTTGATTAGCATATAAAAAAAAAAATATTGAATCAGAGACTCGCTGTCGAAAAAGTCAACTGCTAATGCTATTCTTATTAATTAAAGGAAATGGCACAATTTGATTTTATGACATGTTAAAAAAAAAGAGTTTTAAAAATATCCAGAAAATAACATAAAATTATTATATAGATCTAGATCTCTCTCTCTCTCTCTCTGTCTGTCTCTCTCTATTTTTATATGTGTTTTATTATGTATACTAAAAGACTGAGCAGAGGTTTACAATGTAAATCTGTGCTCTACAAGTAGAGAAAATCTTAAGTTTGCGCAAAACAGATTTTAGTAAAAAAGTTGGATCTAATTCTTCTAATAAAAGTAAAAATAAAAGTGTTATGGTGAGATTTGTTATTATTAACTCTCGAAATACAGTTAGTTGCTGAATCTCTAAAATTAACTAAGAACAGTGGAATTCGGTTTGTTTCAATTCCAAAGCCCAAAGGCGTAGCAATAAGTTAGATCTAGATCTAGATCTAGCAGTTGTAGGCTCTCTGGCTGCTTCTAGCATAGGCCTGCTACTATTGATTCTAGACAGGGAATCTAGATCTAGCTATCACCTGCACTATTAAAGTCAAATAGTAAAATAAAAACAAAACTGTGAATTCTTTTGTCAGTCAGTTCATCCCGCCACAGCCGCACGTATTAATAGTTGAATAATGCGATACCGAAGCAACACGTCGCTGACCGGTCGATTCGGTGGTTCGGCTTTTGTAAATCTGTGCATTTTTTACGGAAAGCCCACAGAATTCTACACTCTGTGGGAAAGCCCTATTACTAGATCTATTAGTGTTGTGAAAACTTCAATCTCTACAGCTTAGGCGTCAAAAGATGTTGGAAAATAATAATACGTCCTGAAGTTTCATAATTTATACAGAATAACACAGTCAGTAGTTTTTATTTCATCGAGTTATATATAAATTGCCTTGTTTTCAGAAGCAAATTTTAATAGTTCCAGTTCTACCGAATCGATTTTCACGCGAATTCAACCATTTTGATGATCTTTCTTTTCCTTTTAAAAAGATGTAGGCCTGTCGGATGTGGCAGTGCGATTAACACTGAGTTGTTTAGACCCATCAAAACACGAGACTTCATGGCCGATCACAAAAGTCAACGGGGCTTATCGAGGCCGATTCGCCCTGCCGCGTGCACATTCACTAAACTGCCTACTAGATAGAATCTACTACAGTGGAATCTTATTTTAACAAGAAGGATGGGACCGGGGCAAAATGTCCGTTATAGCAGGATTCTCGCTATAAGGGATCCAGTAATAAATTCAAGGGAAACTGTAAAGTAGGCCTTGTACTAATCTATGAGTTTAGTGTTCTGTTTATTTCCTTTTGCTATCTCCCCTGATGATGATTTTGTTTCAACATGACCTCTAGGTCTTACTTAATCAGAAATCGAATCAGTTTTTTTTTCTCTAGCGCTAGATCTAGCGATGTGGACTGACAGCTGGGCGTTGGCAATCAGAAAGAAAGGGCTCTGGGCTAACTCTCCTGCTGTGTCTTCCCCCACCCCACCCCGCCCTGCTGTCATTCCGTTTGCTTGCGCACGTCACACATTCGCTCCATCCATCACATTGCTGTGACCTCTCCATCCCCGCATCGGAGAAGTGAGAGGCATGGTAGGCCTTGATAATCTAAACTAGGCTTACGCTGGCCTGTCACGCGATGCGTTTTGCTTGTCTGCGCATGCCACACCCTCCTTACTCAGTGGCTCCGGCCTTCATTGCTGACGCACATGGGCTCTCCTATTCTTTGTTTCGAGGTTTTGCGTATAATTGGCCTATGCACTCTGCACAGCAGCAGCAATATTCCGCTATAACCGACTCGCATTTTGTCTGATTGCGCTATAGCAGTATTTTATTCACAAAGGTAAAGAGGAAAAAAACAACGTGGTTTTAGAATAGTGTCTTTACTTTATTATAACAGTATTAACAGACTTCTCGTTTTTTCAGGACTCGTTATAAGTGGACTCCACTGTACCAAAGATTCTCTACACGATATTTGCTACTACTACTACTACTACATGTACTACTACGAGACAGAATGAGAGAGTGCCACTCAGGCAAAGATAGTGTAACTTTGACTCATCCAACTTTTAGACATGCAAATTAAATAACAATTTATAAAAATACTGTAAACTGGGGTGACTCAGGAAGATAACAGGCTGTCCTCATGGTTTTATACCCCAAAAAAATCCAGTGTATCCAGACTATGTCTTCAACAGAATACAGTATATGAAGCTCATGTGGTAGGCCTACACACAATTGAATTGACCCAAGTTTATTTGGAACAAAAAAAAAAGAAATAATAAGAAAAAGATTACAAAATCAGCACCAAAGTAATTCATATAAAGACGTTCTTATTTTATTAAATATAAAAAAATTTATGAACATTTTATAAAAGCTTAATGATTCATTAGTCAACATATTTCATGGGGAAGCAGCTCAACTACCATAACTCTGGTTTTCCAAATTTAACAGGAGGAGAAAAAAAACTTTACTGATTTTTCACCTCTATATATCCAACAAAGATACCTGCTATTTATCGCTATAAAATTACAATGTTCTAAGGTATAAAATTTTCACCAAATAATCCCACAACTCTGAGGTTTTTTTACAGAGCAGGTTCATCTTCCCACTGCCTTGAAATGTTTTTCAAAATGTCAAAAGTGATGGACACCGATTTTCGCCAAAACCCCGACTTACGACACCTAAGCTGCTACCCAGCGAGATATTATGCCTTTCCAAAAACGTGAGATACCGGGGTTGACAAGTAAGTATAAGGACCAAAATCAAATTTATGAAGGTACTGTATTTTAATTCTCCATCAGATCTATATATATGTATGTAGCCTAATGATTGCTCTTAAGTCTTACAGACTGAGTTCAAGTCACAGCTGTACAGCATGCAATAGTCTTGGTGCTATGCTGCTTTACATCACAATCAAAACCTTTGTTAGTAACAACAATAACAAATACTTAGACCACTTCTCAGCTAGGCTGAGGTTTTATTGTAAAACAGAACACAACTTTTTTTAAAATATAGAAATAAATTAATAATACAGGCAAAAACAGATAAAACTGTCCCTGTCGTTTTATGCAAGAAAAATTCTGAAATTAGAAATTTATGCAAACTAAGCCCAAAAATGTTAAATTATGCGATTCTGTTAATTTTAACAAAGAATGATAAAGGAAAATAATTAAAAATTATGCAAAAAATGATCAAATTTTGCTAAATTATGCGGGGTGCATAAAACCACGGGGACAGATAAAATTCAACTGATGAAATTGTTCCTGGAACACTTTCTGAACAAACGATAAGCCAGAAGTAACATGATACAGTGGAGCCCGCCTAAAGTGAACATGCTTTATTTGAACAATTGGTTAAACTGAACCATATTCTGTGGTTCCGATTGAATTTGTTTAAGTAAAGAAGAGTGGATAAAATAAACAGGTTTCATGGGGAAATTGGATATAAGGTGAACTCCCAAAATGAGTGAAAGCAAAGAACGGACCGACTTTGTCACTGTCGCCAGGCTGTGAAAGTAACATTCTTTGCCTCTGGCATCGGCAGACAATCCCATTTTTTATTTTATAGTAGAGGGTTTTACGGCGCTCGCAACTCTGCATAAGGTCATATGAGCGCCAGAAGATTAAAGGTGTTACAAGAGAGTAACAAACATAAAAAAGAAGAAGGGGAGATAAGGACGATAGATGTTTGATAGGAAAGAAGAAGCAGACCACACCAGAGCACCCGCCAACCACCAGCACACAAGAGAGTGACAAACATACAAAAGAAGTAGAGGAAAATGACAATAGTAAGGATCAGGAAATAAAAAGCAGCAGTTCCCTGTTGCAGATCAGGCACAGTTATGAGCGTGACATGAGTCAGCCCGTTTACAATTCTTCTATGCTTGAACAAGAAATGTCCCCCCTTTGGGAATGGCCTAAAGACACTTCTGTCAGTGTCACTCCCCCGGGGGGTAAACAATTCCAGCTCGGCATTGGCAACGTAATCTCAATCAGAAAGACAGAGTTCTAGTCTAGGCTCGCCTGCTGTGTTGTCCCCCCACTCCCCACCCCACCTCCACCATAGACCCACCACTGCACGTAGCTACCGTCTCTAGGCCTCCACGCTACCAAAATGGTAAAAACTGAACCTCGGATAAAGTGAGCACTTTCTTCTGGTCCCAAAGATTTTACTTAAAGCGGACTCCACAGTAAGTAAACTACCAACTGTGTAAACTTTCTTTGACAATTAAGAACATACAGTACGGAATGTCATTGTTACAAATAAGTTTAAAGTTTTTCATAACCTTCATGACATAACACATCGGATCATAACAAAGACGACATACTTCAGTTAGGACCCAAACATTAAAATACACTAATATAATGTCCTTCGCACAAAACACTTTCCAATAAAGAGGCATATTTACACCAAATTCAAAGTTTATACATTAAAAACTCCTCTCAATTCTATGTAATGATTTGTTCAATACAGTGACAACAAACTGAAGTTTGGACTCGAAAAGTTAATATTGATCTAGCATTCTCATAAAACACTGCATTAATTAAATAAGACTCTTTTCATAATACTAATACGCCACACATACACAAACACACACACACACACACACAAAATAAAAACATGCACACACACACCATCTTAAACAGGGACTCCTCCAAGAGACTCAGTGGGGTTTCCGGGCCAAACAGGGAACTACAGACATGATCTTCACTGCCCACCAATTCCAGGAGAAATGCCAGGAGCAACACTTCGATTTATTCGTGACCTTTGTGAATTTAACGAAGGCCTTCGACACTGTCAGTAGAGAAGGACTGAGGTGGATCATGAAGAAGTACCGATGCCCAAGTAAGTTCATCACCATCGTCAGACAGCTTCACGATGGTGTGATGGTGAAGGTTCTAGAAGACGGAGACGAGACAGACACCTTCCCTGTGACCAATGGCGTCAAACAAGGGTGTGTCCTTGCCCCAACTCTCTTCAGTACGGCATTTTCCGCCACATGGATGTTGAAATCAACAACAGAGTTGCCAAGGTCAGCGCCGCTTTCAGGAGACTCTGCCAGAATGTCTGGAAGCAGAGAGGACTCAGTCTCTCTACAAAGCTGAAGGTGTACCTGGCGGTGGTTCTTACCATCCTTCTTTACGCCAGCGAGACATCGTCTGTCTACAGCAGACATGCCAAGCAGCTCAATCCACTCCACCTGAGCTGTCTCCGTAAAATCCTCCGCATCAGATGGCAGGACAAAGCCCCAGACACGGATCTTCTAGAGCGGGCCGGAATCCCCAGGATCTACATCCTCCCCCAGAAAACGCGAGCCAGATGGGCCGGCCATGTGGTCAGAATGGTGGACAGCCGGTAGCCCAAACAGCTAATGTATGAAGAGCTCTTTCATGGCAATCGCTCAGTTGGAGGGCAGGAAAAAATGTTTTAAACACTGCCTCAAAGTCTCACTAAAAGAACTAGGAATCCTGAACGACTCGTAGGATACACTGGCCCTAGATCGCCCCGCCCGGCGCTGCAAACTAACTAAGGGAGCCAAAGCAGCAGAGGCCTAGCACATGGCTCAAGCCACAAGAAAACGCAACGTGGGCAAGTTCAAATCTGCCTCCATCACAATTCAAACACAAGACTACTAGTGCCCACACTGTGGGCAAAACTTCCGAGCGTGGTTAGGTCTTATCAGTCATCTCCGGATCCACTGTCAACAGACCAAATTGTGAAGCCATGACCATCTTCAAAGGTTAAGAACAAACAACATTCTTTTGTGATTCTATGTCTATAGACACTTCAGCTACGTGCAAACGTGGCACCACAAACATCAATTATACTTGTCAGATTTTTCTCCTGTGTATATTTTTCCTGTGACGCTGCAGACTGCTAATCTGTGTAAACGAGGCACCACAAACTTCACACTTGTAACGTTTTTCTCTTGTGTACTCTTTTGTGATTTCGTAAAATGTTATGGAATGTAAACGTGGCACCACAAACTTCACACTTGTACGGTTTTTCTCCTGTGTGTATTCTTTTGTGACTTTGTAAATTGCAACGTAATGTAAATTTGGCACCACAAACTTCACACCTGTAGTAAGGTTTTTCTCCTCTGTGTATTCTTTTGTGACGTTGCAGACTGCAATTTAATGTAAATGTGGCATCACAAACTTCACGCTTGTAAGGTTTTTTCTCCTGTGTGTGTTCTTTTGTGACATTGTAGATGGCTACTGCGTGCATACGTGGCATCACAAACTTCACGCTTGTAAGGTTTTTTCTCCTGTGTGTGTTCTTTTGTGACATTGTAGATGGCTACTGCGTGCATACGTGGCATCACAAACTTCACGCTTGTAAGGTTTTTTCTCCTGTGTGTGTTCTTTTGTGACATTGTAGATGGCTACTGCGTGCATACGTGGCATCACAAACTTCACGCTTGTAAGGTTTTTTCTCCTGTGTGTGTTCTTTTGTGACATTGTAGATGGCTACTGCGTGCATACGTGGCACCACAAACTTCACACTTGTAAGGTTTTTCTCTTGTGTGTATTTTTTTGTGACTCTGTAGATTTCCGCTCTGTGCAAACGTGACACCACAAACTTCACACTTGTAAGGTTTTTCTCCGGTGTGTATTCTTTTGTGTCTCTGTAGACCTCCGCTACTTGTAAATGTGACATCACAAACTTCACACTTGTAAGGTTTTTCTCCTGTGTGTATTCTTTTGTGTCTATGTAGACTACCGCTACTAGCTAAAGTGACACCACAAACTTCACACTTGCAAGGCCTATCTCTTGTGTGTGTTCTTTTGTGTCTCTGTAGGTCACCTAGTTCTGTAAACATCTCAAGACAGACATTACACTTGTGAGGTTGTTCTCCTGAGTATCTGCTTTCCCTGACCAGAGACCTTGGTACATCTTGGCAACCAGCGCCCATCTCTTTGTACACTTTTGGGGGTGCGGTACTAGAAGCTTCCGTAGAATTTATACTACTGGCAAACAACACAGCAGAAGAACGGTTGAAATCGGGACCTTGACCCATGGACTGTTTACCATCACAAGACATATGACTTTTGCCGCAAGACTCATGCTTTGAACTTATGTTAAGACGATTTCCTGGCCCTGTCTGTGAAACAATCTTACACACATCACTTTCCACACCAATATCATCAGCTTTCGTTTCACTTGCAAAAGCACAGTCATTTAAACTCATGTCACGATCTTCGTTGAGATTTCTGTTGTCCATCTGCTTGTCACCTGCTGTGTTCTGATGGAGGTCACAGACTCTCTCCACAGCACCGATGTCACCAGAAAGTTCACACTTAGGTTTTTCTCCAGTGTGTGTTCTTTTGTGTGTCTGTAGATTTCCACTTTCTGTAAATGTGACACCACTAACTTCACACTTGTAAGGTTTTTCTTCTGAGTGTGTTCTTTTGTGTTCCTGTAGATTTCTGGCACAAGTAAATGTTACACAACAAACTTCACACTTGTAAAGTTTTTCTCTTGTGTGTATTTTTTTGTGATTTTGTAAATTGGAACTGAATGTAAATGTCGCACCACAAACTTCACACATGTAAGGTTTTTCTCCTGAATGTATTGTTTTGTGACGAAAAAGACTGCCAGCGTGTGTAAACGTGGCACCACAAACTTCACAAGTGTACTGTTTTTTTCCTGAATGTATTCTTTTATGACGAAGAAGACTGTTACCCAGTGTAAAAGTGGCACCACAATCTTCACATTTGTAAGGTTTTTCCCCTGTGTGTATTCTTTTGTGATCCTGTAGACTGTTACGACGGATAAACGTGGCACCACAAACTTCACACTTGTAAGGTTTTTCTCCTGTGTGTATTCTTTTGTGACTCTGTAGATTTCCGCTTTGTGTAAACGTGGCACCACAAACTTCACACTTGTAAGGTTTTTCTCCTGTGTGTATTCTTCTGTGTTTATGCAGACTACTGCTACAAGTAAATGTGACACCACAAACTTCACACTTGTAAAGTTTTTCTCCTGTGTGTATTCTTTTGTGTTTCTGTAGGTCACCTAGTTTTGTAAACATCTCAAGACAGACATTACACTTGTGAGGTTGTTCTCCTGAGTATCTACTTTCCCTGACCAGAGACGTTGGTAGGCCTACATCTTGGCAACCAGCGCCCATCTCTTTGTACACTTTTGGGGGTGTGGTACTAGAAGCTTCCGTAGAATTTATACCACTGGCAAAAGACACAGCAGAAGAAAGGTCGAAATCGAGACCTTGACCCATGGACTGTTTACTATCACAAGACATACGACTTTTGCCGCAAGACTCATGCTTTGAACTTACGTTAAGACGATTTCCTGGCCCTGTCAGTGAAACAATCTTACACACATCACTTTCCACACCAATATCATCAGCTTTCGTTTCACTTGCAAAAGCACAGCCATTTAAACTCATGTCACGATCTTCGTTGAGATTTCTGTTGTCCATCTGCTTGTCACCTGCTGTGTTCTGATGGAGGTCACAGACTCTCTCCACAGCACCGATGTCACCAAACAGTTCACACTTAGGTTTTTCTCCTGTGTGTATTCTTTTGTGACTTTGTAAATTGCTACTTAATGAAAATGTGGCACCACAAACTTTACACTTGTAAGGTTTTTCTCCTGTGTGTGTTCTTTTGTGTGTCTGTAGACTTCCGCTCTGTGTAAACGTGGCACCACAAACTTCACACTTGTAAGGTTTTTCTCCTGTGTGTATTCTTCTGTGTTTATGTAGACTACTGCTACTAGCAAAAGTGACACCACAAACTTCACACTTGTAAGGTTTTTCTCCTGTGTGTATTCTTTTGTGTTTATGTAGACTACTGCTACAAGTAAATGTGACACCACAAACTTCACACTTGTAAAGTTTTTCTCCTGTGTGTATTCTTTTGTGTTTCTGTAGGTCACCTAGTTCTGTAAACATCTCAAGACAGACATTACACTTGTGAGGTTGTTTTCCTGAGTATCTACTTTCCCTGACCAGAGACCTTGGTACATCTTGGCAACCAGCGCCCATCTCTTTGTACACTTTTGGGGGTGTGGTACTAGAAGCTTCCGTAGAATTTATACTACTGGCAAACAACACAGCAGAAGAAAGGTTGAAATCGAGACCTTGACCCATGGACTGTTTACCATCACAAGACATACGACTTTTGCCGCAAGACTCATGCTTTGAACTTACGTTAAGACGATTTCCTGGCCCTGTCAGTGAAACAATCTTACACACATCACTTTCCACACCAATATCATCAGCTTTCGTTTCACTTGCAAAAGCACAGTCATTTAAACTCATGTCACGATCTTCGTTGAGATTTCTGTTGTCCATCTGCTTGTCACCTGCTGTGTTCTGATGGAGGTCACAGACTCTCTCCACAGCACCGATGTCACCAGAAAGTTCACACTTGTAAGGTTTTTCCCCTGTGTGTATTCTTTTGTGATCCTGTAGACTGTTACCACGTGTAAATGTGGCACCACAAACTTCACACTTGTAAGGTTTTTCTCTTGTGTGTATTCTTTTGTGACTCTGTAGATTTCCGCTCTGTGTAAACGTGGCACCACAAACTTCACACTTGTAAGGTTTTTCTCCTGTGTGTATTCTTCTGTGTTTATGTAGACTACTGCTACTAGAAAAAGTGACACCACAAACTTCACACTGGTAAGGTCTTTCCCCTGAGTGTATTCTTTTGTGAAGCTGTAGATGGCTACCATATGTAAAAGTGGCACCACAAACTTCACACTTGTAAGATGTTTTCCTTGAGTGTGTTCTTTTGTGACGAAAAAGACTGCTACCATGTGCAAAAGTGGCACCACAAACTTGACACTTGTACGATTTTTCTCCTGAATGTATTCTTTTGTGACGAAAAAGACTGCCAGCCTGTGTAAACGTGGTACCACAAACTTCACATTTGTACTGTTTTTTTCCTGAATGTATTCTTTTATGACGAAGAAGACTGTTAGCCAGTGTAAAAGTGGCACCACAATCTTCACATTTGTAAGGTTTTTGCCCTGTGTGTATTCTTTTGTGATCCTGTAGACTGTTACCACGCGTAAACGTGGCACCACAAACTTTACACTTGTAAGGTTTTTCTCCTGTGTGTGTTCTTTTGTGTGTCTGTAGATTTCCGTTCTGTGTAAACGTGGCACCACAAACTTCACACTTGTAAGGTTTTTCTCCTGTGTGTATTCTTCTGTGGTTATGTAGACTACTGCTACTAGCAAAAGTGACACCACAAACTTCACACTTGTAAGGTTTTTCTCCTGTGTGTATTCTTTTGTGACTCTGTAGATTTCCGCTCTGTGTAAACGTGGCACCACAAACTTCACACTTGTAAGGTTTTTCTCCTGTGTGTATTCTTTTGTGTTTAAGTAGACTACTGCTACAAGTAAATGTGACACCACAAACTTCACACTTGTAAAGTTTTTCTCCTGTGTGTATTCTTTTATGACGAAAAAGACTGTTAGCCAGTGTAAAAGTGGCACCACAAACTTCACACTTGTAAGGTTTTTCTCCAGTGTGTGTTCTTTTGTGATCCTGTAGACTGTTACCACGTGTAAACGTGGCACCACAAACTTCACACTTGAAAGGTTTTTCTCCTGTGTGTATTCTTTTGTGACTCTGTAGATTTCCGCTCTGTGTAAACGTGGCACCACAAACTTCACACTTGTAAGGTTTTTCTCCTGTGTGTATTCTTTTGTGTTTATGTAGATTACTGCTACAAGTAAATGTGACACCACAAACTTCACACTTGTAAAGTTCTTCTCCTGTATGTATTCTTTTGTGTTTCTGTAGGTCACCTAGTTCTGTAAACATCTCAAGACAGACATTACACTTGTGAGGTTGTTTTTCTGAGTATCTACTTTCCCTGACCAGAGACGTTGGTAGGCCTACATCTTGGCAACCAGCGCCCATCTCTTTGTACACTTTTGGGGGTGTGGTACTAGAAGCTTCTGTAGAATTTATACCACTGGCAAAAGACACAGCAGAAGAAAGGTTGAAGTCGAGACCTTGACCCATGGACTGTTTACTATCACAAGACATACGACTTTTGCCGCAAGACTCATGCTTTGAACTTACGTTAAGACGATTTCCTGGCCCTGTCTGTGAAACATTCTTACACACATCACTTTCCACACCAATATCATCAGCTTTTGTTTCACTTGCAAAAGCACAGTCATTTAAACTCATGTCTCGATCTTCGTAGAGATTTCTGTTGTCCATCTGCTTGTGACCTGCTGTGTTCTGATGGAGGTCACAGACTCTCTCCACAGCACCGATGTCACCAGACAGTTCACACTTAGGTTTTTCTCCAGTGTGTGTTCTTTTGTGATCCTGTAGACTGTTACCACGTGTAAACGTGGCACCACAAACTTCACACTTGAAAGGTTTTCCTCCTGTGTGTATTCTTTTGTGACTCTGTAGATTTCCGTTCTGTGTAAACGTGGCACCACAAACTTCACACTTGTAAGGTTTTTCTCCTGTGTGTATTCTTCTGTGTTTATGTAGACTACTGCTACTAGAAAAAGTAACACCACAAACTTCACACTGGTAAGGTCTTTCCCCTGAGTGTATTCTTTTGTGAAGCTGTAGATGGCTACCATATGTAAAAGTGGCACCACAAACTTCACACTTGTAAGGTGTTTTCCTTGAGTGTGTTCTTTTGTGACGAAAAAGACTGCTACCATGTGCAAAAGTGGCACCACAAACTTCACACTTGTACGATTTTTCTCCTGAATGTATTCTTTTGTGACGAAAAAGACTGCCAGCCTGTGTAAACGTGGAACCACAAACTTCACACTTGTAAGGTTTTTCCCCAGTGTGTACTCTTTTGTGATCCCGTAGATTTCTGCTACATGTAAACGTGGCACCACAAACTTCATAGACCCTTTGTACTGTCTGAAATCTGCAGCTTGAACTTTGACCTTGTCTTCTCAGTATATCACTTGTCTGTTGTACCGGGGAACAGGAAGTCAGTGGCCTATGAGGGTAAGTCGAGAAATCTGGAAGTAGACAAAATACGGACTAGTTTAGTTATCTAACCCTGACAGTAAGATGAAACATCTGGAAGAAGACAAATAATGGACAAGTTATCTAACCCTGACAGTAAGGTGAAACATCTGGAAGAAGACAAATAATGGACAAGTTATCTAACACTAACACTGATGGTAAGATGAAACATCTGGTATTAACATTCTTTTTTTTTGGGGGGGGGGGGGGGTTTAGTGTTTTACGAATCTCGCAACTGAAACATCTGGAACACAACAAATAAAGGACATAAAA